AATATATATATAATATATATATATTTTTTGAATGTATATGGTATTGTATTTTATTCATTTCTCTTTTTATTAATTTTTTTTCCATTGCAGATTATAATGACCTACACATTAAGAATAAAACCAGCAGTTAGTCAAACTTTATTGTACGATTTATGTGGATCTACTTTGGGACTCATATTTGATCTAAGTGTCCCAAGTACTTCAGTTGTTATAGAGCCTATTCTCAATATTACATCACAAGCTGTTGGTGGACAATGTCCTGGTGTATTGGCTATTCGATCTAATGTAGACAGAGGTTTTACCTGTGGTATTGGGGAAGTTTTAAATGCTGATAAGGAAGGACAAATACCTAATTGCTGTAAGTTTTTTAAATGAAAGAGTTTTCCTTAATTTCATATTTTTAAACTTCATTTTTTAAATAACTTTTTATTACATATTTAAATTTTATAATTGAAACTTCAAATCTGAATCTTCATTTGAACTTCAAATCTTAAACAATTTAAAAAGTGTGCTTCTTTTCTCATTTTTTTATGACATTAATGTTCAAAAAATTTTAAAATCCCATCAACAAATAAAAGCCATTTAGTGAAATAAAATAAAATTAACATTAAATGTTAATTTTTTTTGCTAAGTTACATTTGTCTTAATTTCTTAATTCTACTTGTTATTTCATAATAACAAGAAATCACTCCATAGAACTAAGCTGTTGTATTTGTTTTAGTCATCAAATCCAGAAAAATCATTTTCCTTCACCTCTTATATTTTAATAAATCTTTAGTTAAAAATCTATTTTTATTATTTAAATTTAAGTTTTAAAATTTTTTTCAAAATCATACGTGATGGTTTAAAAAAACTTTTAAAAAGCATTAAATAAATTTTTCTAAAGTCTATTAAAAATTACATTTAACAAACACTTTTAATTTTTTAAGTGGCTGGATGGCGCTGTTGGTTTGTTGTCGGCCTTCTGAGCCCAAGTTTGCGGGTTCGAACCCCAGCCCAGACATCGAATTTTTGAGATGCAGAAAATCCTCAGCGACCATGTCGTATGATTATGTGGCATGTGAAAGATCCCTGTAGTGCCATATTGGCTCATGGCATTTCTGGCAAAATTAAATTCCTGGTGCACTTTAGCATCCAAATAGAGTCTCGGTGCTGCCATCTAGTGTGGCAGAAACTAGACGTCCAAATCGACATGGCCAACGGTATCTCATCCATTGTGGTGGTCCTGAAAGAGTGGATACCACTTTTGGAGAATGCACTAGGTTTGCTCATCGGAAGATTGATTGTGCAGCTCATTGGAAAAAGAAAGAAAAAATATTAATTTTTTAATATATTTGTTTTCTAACATGTTGGATATTTTGTAATTAAATTTTAAAACTTAGAAATATAAATTTATTTTTACAGTGCATTGCCCAGCAGGAACTTATGCTTCTTTAGAAGGTGGGTGCATTTTCTGTCCACGTGGTTCCTATCAAGATTTGACTCAACAATCTGAGTGCAAACAGTGCCCATTAGGAACATTCACCAGACAGGAAGGAAGCAAGAGCATCACAGACTGTGTCTGTAAGTTCAATTTATTTTCCTTTTAATATTTGCTGCATTCTTTACATTTTTTTTATACTAAACGCTTTTGTTTAAAAAAATAATTTTGAGATAGATATATAAAGTCGTAAACATTTTTATCTTTTTAGTGAGCTATTTTTATTGACTGTTAAATTGAAATCAAAAAAGCATTCTTTAATTGAAGACCAAAAACTTCCTATTTACAATTGTAATTTGCATAATTTTCTTTATTGCATGTTATCCCAGTAACAAAAATCCTCCAGCATGGCAGCAGGTGCTGCTTATAATTTTTCATCAAATTTTATTTTTTATTTTTAAAAAGCAATCAAACAAATATGGAAAAACTGCTAATACTTTTTTTTGAAACAACTTTGAACTTGTTTCCATTAAAAAATTAAAAGGCTGAGAACAAAAACTGAAGAATTGTCTTTTTTTCTGTTACTCGATTGAGGATATAATTGTGTGGGGATGTTTTCCTTTTTCTTAAAGTCGGTGTATAAAATTAAAATTAAATTTTAACTACATAAAGTATCGATAATTTTTAAGACCCTTATATTTGTAAGTTACACACAAAGCCACAATAATAGTCTTTACATGTGTTGAGAGTGCCGAAAAATTTGAATTTATAACTATAGTGTTGCAGATTCACTTCGAAAATTTTGCTACTGAGCTTGTTACTTTAGCAAAAAAATTCTAAAATAAAGTTTAATATATATTATCAGGACGGCCACGAAATAGGGAATTTTATCAATCTAATAAAAATCAGAGAAATATCAAGGAATTTAATTAAAATACCCAAAGAATGAAGCAAAACTGATTAATTCGAGTTGGGGGTACACATGGTTCACATGGGTCAGGGAAAACTTAGAATTGTCATGGAATTTTATTTTGCCTTTTTCAAGCCGAGAATATTGAGTATTTGCAATTTTAAAAAAAATGGGAAAACTCCTACATTATACCTGAGAAATAACCAGTCTCAGAATTGTCAATAACAGTAATCAGTTTGCGAGATTTGAGTTAAATAATTGAGTTTCACGATTTAGTGAAACTTCCATGCTTCTTTACTCATTCAATGATATTTCTTTGCTCACAAAATCTTATATTTGCCATTACAAATAAAAAATCAAAGTTGACTGTTGAAAAGTTACATGGTATAGATAAAATATGGTTTAGATTTTTATTGAAATTTTCCTGATATACCTGAAAAGTAAGGAAATTTTTTTCCTGAAATTGAATTGGAACCCTGATAAAAGTACAATATTTTTGCAAAAAGAATTGGCTTCTGGGCATAACTACCTGATTCTGGGCATGACTACTAGACCTGAAAATAACTACTCGCCACAAAGCCGATCAATGAAAAAAGTAGGGACTTAAATTTAATAAACAACTGGTCACTTATTCCCATCGTTTTTATTTTATTTATTAGTTTTTTAAAAATAGTTTGATGATAAAAGAACATCAATGCAGAAAGACTGAAAAACAATCTTTATTAAAATGCTCAATATCTGCATTCAAAATTTTCATCAGAATCCATCAATTTGTGATGGAAAGATTCATGTGGAAGAAGACTTCTTTAACAATTCACATATTTCAAACTGTTTATGTATGAATTTAATATATTATGCCTCCCCAAATATTTTTAAAAAGAGTTATTTTAAGTCAGTTTAGCTAAATTTTGTCACATATTTATTTTTGAATTAATTTGTTATAAACATAGATTATTTCTAAGATAAAAAAAATTTTTAAGATATAATTTAATCCAAGGGAAAAAAGTGCAAAAAATGACTATTAAATTAAAAAGGCCTATCAATTCTGGTTACCAACTCATTAGATTTGAGGAAAAAATAATTATTAAGTAATTAGAGTCTATCGGCCACTTGCTACTAACTGAAAATTGAAATGTTTAGGTTTAATGAGTATTACATAAGATCAAAATCTTCAACAATTTATGTTTTTTTTTTTTTTTTTTTTTTTTTTTTTTTTTTTTTTTTTTTTTNTTTTTTTTTTTTTTTTTTTTTTTTTTTTTTGCAATATCCTATAAATTTATATTTGTCTTAAATTTGTGCTCCTATTTAAGGTTCATGGTATTTTAACTTTATTGCTTTAAATATTCTTGTGCACATATACATAATATTTCCCAAAACTCATGCTTTTTAAATAAATAACTATAAGCTTATTACTTATTTTTAAACTTTAATTGAAATTTTTATTATAACAAATACTTAATTATTATAACAAATTGCTATCATATTGATTACTTTATTCTTATGAACGTATTAACAATGTGTAATATTTATTTTCTTTATCAACATTCATATGTATAAATGCATACCTCTTTTGTGATGTGTATTTGTAAATACTTTTAAAATGTTTATTATTAATTGTTTATTATAAATATTTATTAGCTGTATGTGGTTATGGTACATATTCTCCTACTGGACTGGTTCCCTGTCTTCAATGCCCAAGTAATACTTATACTGGAGAACCACCAACTGATGGATTTAAAGAATGTTTCAAGTGTCCAGCAAATTCTTACACTTATTCTCCTGGATCGAAAGAGCCAACTGATTGTAGAGGTAAAAAAAAATTTCGCCTTACATATTGCGTATTTAATGTCGTTGAATTTTTTCTTTCTTTGCTTTCTCTAACACTCAAATTATTATGGGTCGAAAAAGAGATTTTTTTGGTGTGACATGTTATTTTAATTTAAGATGGCACTGTCTATCTGTTTTATTCAATTAAATTTTCAAAAATATTAAATGAAAAGAATAAAAAAAATTTGACTTGATATTATTTTTAAATAAATTAATGAATGTATACTAATTTTAGATATCATGTTAAATATAAGCAAAATAGTTTAACCTCGTTTTTGTTGTAATTTCTGTTTATTATTAGTTAACTTTGAAAAACAATATCTTAAAAGTTAATGTTTTACTGCTATTGATTTATAGTGTTTTTACTAATATTAACAAATTATCTCAAATGCTTGAATTAAATCAAGACGGAATTTCACATTGCATTTTTATTATGAGATTTTTTTTATTTCTTCGATTCCATGTACACACATTTTTATTTTACGTAGCTTTAAAACTATTAACTTTCATTTTCTTTCTAAGGTTTTAAAAGTAAAGTATATGTATGTATGTTTTATTTAAAGTGAAAAATCTTTTTATTATTAATAATAATAACTAATTACTATTTATAGTGACTTATGATTATTAATCACTGCCACATCTTTTGATAGATGTAATTAATGCATATTCACATTAACCAGTTATTATTAATAATTAACAATAAAATTTGATAACTGTTTTTGATAAGCAGAAATTTAAAACACAATTACCTCATTTATATTAATAATTTTTGGTTAATAATAACGGAATACTGTGATTCATTCTCAAAAATTATGCTAACCATATTATCTAGTAATTATTAATAAAGAATTATTGTTAATTAATGACATGGACCATAATATTCATGTCATAACTTTTGGTCTCTGAAATAAAAGGTTTTGAAGGGGAAATTTTCTATGTATAAAAATTGAAACTAATTCCTTATCATAAAATATAATTTTTACCTTTATAGCTCGTTGTCAACCTGGAATGTATTCTGAAACTGGGTTAGAACCTTGTGCCATTTGCCCAGTTGACTTCTACCAACCAATAGAGGGTGCCACTTCTTGTCTTGAATGTGCATCATCACACACCACAAGTCGTGCAGGATCAACTAGTCAGAGTGATTGTGTTCCATGTAAATAACCTATTTACTTTTAAAATATGTATTGCAATATATTTATTATTTTCTTCAAAATTATCTGTGATTATTTTATAAAACGTTGCATATATTTTGCACTTATATTTCTGAAAATAATGAGCCAGTTGAAATTCACTGGGGGGCTATCCTAATTTTTTCTTACAGCCATATTAATTTTTTAGGTACTTTTTTATTACCCAAGCACAAGCAAAAAATTGAGACCTTTGCCAATTTATTTTTTTACTATTTTTTTAATTATATTTATTTTTTTGAACACTGAACAAAAAAGTAATTAAAATAAAAAAGAGTTTTAAAAGTTGAGTTTCTTTTTGATTTACTATTTAAAAAGTACCTTTTTTTATATGCCCAAAATAAATTTTATTTTGTGTAAACTACATGTAATTATTTGATTTTAAAACTTTATAATACTAAAACTTCTATTTAATAACTTTGCATTTATCATTTTTTTTTAAGCTTTTAAGAATTATTAGAAAAATTTTTGATTGAATAAAAAAAAACTTTAGACTTCTTTAAGATACACGATTGAGACCTACAAATTATTATAAATAGTACTACGTCATTTATTTTTAAATATATCATAGTCAAATTTTAATTGCTTTTATTCAACATTTTCTGTAGTTTAAATTCAAAAAATCTTTTCAGATTGGGTTTATTTATGTGTAAAAACTTAATTTGATTGGAAGATGTCATATAAAATTCTCCTTCAAGATATTTGTTTTTACTCCTGCATTACAATATTTGTGTTACAATATTAACTTTAAAAGTTTTATTATTATTTCACACATCTGATACAAATGTTTTATCATGTTTCTCATCGGCCAAAGTAAACCTTCAATTGCCAGAGAATCATATTTTAGTAAAAAAAATCTAGAGATGCTGATTTTCTTAGCTAAAACTTCAAAAAAAAAACTTGAAAATGGCCATTCTAAAAAAAATTACTGTATTTATAAGTTACTATAAGATTCTTAGTAAACAATTTTAAACAACCTACATTTATTTAAATATTAAATATGAACAACATATTAGTTTGTTCAGTAAAAATAATATTGGTTTGAGTTGTTTCCTAGATTTTTCATTCAAAAGGAGATATAATGTAAGAATGTTTTTTTAAACTTTCTGAAACTTGGAAATGTCAAGAAGAAAAAAATTTCCTGGTTGTTTATTTTAAAATTTATTGCCTCGTCTTAAACCCCTGCATGTGTAAGAATTCTGTTTTATGCAATATTATTTGACATAACTGACAATCATTTTCCTCCTATTTTTATATAGTGAAATGCAACAGCCAGTCTTGCCAACATGGTGGACTTTGCCTTGTGCAGCGACATCAACTTTCTTGTTACTGTCCAGCTGGCTTTAGTGGTCAGTTTTGTGAAACTGATGTTGATGAATGTGCTAGTCAACCATGCTACAATGGAGGTTTATGTGAAGACCATCCTCAGGGTTATACTTGTGATTGTCCTCCTGGTAAATAAACATTTTTTATATTATTATGTCCTCCAAATTTAAGCATAGCTATATTCATTTTTGATCCTTATTTCTTTTCTCATTAAACATAGCATTTAACTTCTTATTTAATATAATTATGCAATGAATTCAATATCTCGGTAACTAGATATTATTTTATACTACTTTTAGATTAATTTCCTTTCAACCATTTACACATAAGTATAAAAGCTAATAGGTTGCTTTAATGTTCCAACAAATTTTTGGAGTTTGTTCATTTGTCAAATTATTTAGATGTGAATGTTAGGTATCCAAGACTTTGCTTGACTTTAATAAAAGTCATTTTTTTTATAAATCAAAAATTACTTTTGCCAAAAAGTCTTTTCTTTTTTTTTTGCTTTAAAGTTTTATTCTTCTTTTGTCAAATTATTTAAATTTGCATGTTAGGTATCATGGAATCAACTTCACTGTAGGCAAAAGTATTTTTTAGGTTAAACTCCTAAAGTGAATTTCTCCATATGTTCCAAAATGTTGTTAATATGTTTACTTTGTTTTTAACTTAGGTCGAGTAGCTTCTTCCCTTTAACCTAACCATTAATTTTTTTTTAAATTATGATGTATGATTAAAAAAGGGTCTTTGTTTGGATTCTGCATTAAATAAGGATTTAATTTGTGGTTTTTCTTATGTAAAGATTTATCTGGACCTCATATTTACATATTGATCAACATCCATAGAACGCTCCATACAATATATATGCTGTTATATAATTTCCATTGCTCTCATATGTATATTAGGATTTACTTATCTGTTTTTATAGGTTTAATAAGTATTTGTCATGAAGATTTAAAAACTGGTCAATTGCTTTTGCAATTAAAGTTATTACCAGTTGTTCACATTAAGATGAATATATTAGAATAAATATATAACATTTATAAATATTTTTATTTCACCCTATTTTTAGAAAGTCTGGAGTATTTCTCATCATCAATAGCACCCTAATTTATAAGGCTTAAATAAACATTTTTAAAAAATAGTTTATTGATTTGTCGATTATTAATCACATATAATGTTTTTTTTGTATACTTATTTCAATTTTATTAAAAACTGTAATTTATTTTCGTTTCCTTTCTTCAGACTATCTCATCACTCTTCCTTTACTTCTTATCATTGTATAGAAAGTCATTAATTCACTTTACATAGCTAAAACATATTTGTGCTATTTCAGGCTACTCTGGTTTGCAGTGCCAGATTGAGACATCAGACTGTAATAATGTGACTTGTCCTGAGAGAGCTATGTGCCAAAATATGCCTGGTCTTGGTAATTACAATTGCCTATGCAGGTCTGGATATGAAGGGAAAGAGTGTGATACAACAGTGAATCCTTGTACTGCAGAAGAAAGCCCATGCAACAATGGAGCAAACTGTGTGCCGTTACTTCAAGGACGATTCAAATGTGAATGCTTACCTGGTTGGACAGGACGTTCTTGTGATATAAATATAGGTATTACAAATTATTTTGGATTAAATGATTATCAAATAGTATTTGCTTTTCTGACAAGGGGTATTGCAAGCTTATAATTGCTGGAAGGGGATTTCTAATTTACCAAATGCAATTCCATTTTTATTGAATCGTAATATCTTTTGCATTATTGAAAAAAGAACGTTTGGTGTATTTTTTAATTTGCTAAAATTTACATCTTTTGGGGCAGTGACCCTGTTTGATTTTGTTAAATGGTTGTGTATTAATTCAAAGTAAGTTCTTATTATTTATGTTGTTATAAGTCTTCTCTTATAATGATGACGTTTTTATTGCTTGAATCAAATAAAGCTTCTTTGTCTCATTTGCATTGCCTTCAGCAATTTAGTCAATTGTCTAAGTTTTCAGAATGTTTGAAAAATTCTCAATCTCCTAAATAGTGAAAGTTTTTAAGGTCACCTTGATCTCCCAATCCAGTATCTAATGCTGATCTTGCATCAATGCCTGAAAGCTACTAGTGCTATATATCCTGCTGGCACATATGTTAAAAGACATATTACAATTTTAAGATAATGTTACTCAGAATGTGCATGAAACAGAAGAGTTGGAAATTTCAAAATTAATTCTGTAACAATTTTTTATATAAGATTAAATAAGAAGTTTGTTTATAATAGACGCTGTAAGAATTTCCCATAGACCTATAGAACTGTAGAAATTTGGTATAAAAACTTCCAGCAAACGTAATTATTTTTAAAATGTGCTTAGTCTGAATGCAGGCTATGGTCAAAGACTATATTGATTATGTTTGGCACTGAAACATGAAAAGAGGTTACATCCTGAAGAAAGTCCATTTATCTTTAGAACAACGTTGGTTCTGGAATATGGCAATGTAAATCAAAGTCCTACTGCTGCAAGTCACAGTTTTTAAAGCCACTTTAACATGGCTTTCAATAGGTTATCTATTGCCAACTTCTGTAACTAATTTTGAAAATTATGTATGAAATTGTTACAGTTTCAATATATTGTTTCTTTTATTACTAATTATTTCGAAGTTCTTTAGATTTGAAATCATACTTTCTCCTTGAACAGCCTGTATCATAAATGATAAAAAATAAGTAATTAATGTGTGTTTGTTTAGTCATTCACCTAAACTTTTTTATTCAAATGAATTTACATTTATGTAAATTAGATTGAATTATTAAACTTCTAATAGTTTTGCTGGAAAAATGGTATTTTAATTTTTTTATAGAAAATTAGGCTAAATCATAATTTTAATTTATTTTAAATTAATTTTGAATCAATGATTATTTTCTTTTAAGATTGTGTTCTTCTTTTCTTTATACTCTTATTTTGTAAAATATTCTACGTACAGAACCCGTTATCCGGAAATCAGAAAACCGGAAGACCAAAAAACCGGAACGAAATTCGGTAAATTTTCCCGCAATTTTTAAAAAAAAATTTTTTTTTCCTCATAAGATTTTAGGATTTTTCTTTCTTCTTTGAAAGATGTTTACCATACCATCATTTTAGAAATAATCATTACTGTATTACTTCATCGTTTTTTCTTCTTTTTAAGATTATTTCCTAATATTTTTTTTAGTTGGGTTTAACAATAAAAAAAAGCGGCTTTTTGTAGCGATTCAGAAAACCGGAAAAATCAGTTATCCGGAATAGCGATGGTCCCGATCGTTACGGATAATCGGCTCCCTACTGTATTATCAAGATCTAAAATACATATTTAAATTTTTCTGAAAGATTTTATTTAATGAAATGACATATATTTATATAACGAATTCAAGATTTTCACCATCATTTTCTAAAAATATTAAATTTAGTGTTTTTAATCAAATATTTATATCTGTCTTTCAGATGACTGCGCAGAACAGCCTTGTTTGTTGGAATCCAATTGCACAGATTTGGTTAACGATTTCCGATGTGACTGTCCATCTGGATTTGCTGGTAAAAGATGTGAAAGAAAAATAAACATGTGTGCTACTGACCCCTGTGTCAATGGAATCTGTGTTGATAGATTGTTCTTTCATGAGTGTATTTGTAGACCAGGCTGGACAGGAACTAACTGCGAGCAAAATATTGATGAGTGCCTCAATAATCCTTGCGAAAATGGTAATTTTTTTAGCTCTCTATTAATTTATATTTTCATTCAGATTCTTAATAATTATTTTCTATAATCTAAAATTATTGTAAGCTCTTGAAACTTACCAATTTATGCTTCTGAATTGATTTTAATTTTACTAAATGCTTCATTTTTGCCCTCGGTTGTTTTGTTGTATTATATCAGTGAAATTATAATATATTTTAACATTCAAATTTTTTATTTTAGTTTTTATCTCATATCTCTTATTTTGTTTAATTTTGTTGAAAATTTATAAAGTTAAAAGTTGATGGAAGTCTCTGTCTACTTTTAAAATTGATTAATATTTATTTTGAGTTGATAAACTAACATCTATTGGTCATCAGTTGCATCAGATAATTGATTCCTTAATCAGCGACATATGTTTAAAATTTAGTTGGATACTTTTTTATGTGGTATGATTAAAAAAAAACTTTTCTTTAATTATACTTAGCATCTGTCAAATTAGGTCATAATAGTTAAAATCAATGACTACTTCAATAATCAATAATAATTATCTATCCATGGAAATTTATCTCTTCATAAGACGGGCAAGACTAACCTATTTAACAGTTGAAATTTTTCAAAATTTTCTATATACTTTTGTTTATGAAATTATAAATCTGATTTTATGTGTAAATTTTTACTAATATTTAAACTGACTGATATTTATTATATAAAAACTAGGCTCGTATTTTTTAAAATTTCGTTCAATAATAAGTACCCAATTTTCCTTGTAGGATAATACTCTTTAGTTTTTCATTAATACAATTTAATATTTTTTTAATAAAATGCTATTCTTAGAATGTTTGATAAAATCATAAAAAAATCAATTTCGTATTTGAAACTTTAACTCACAAATAAAATTTTTTAAATAGATCACATATTTTCAGAAAATATTTTATTTTGTTTATTTTTTACTGAAACAGTTTTTGGTTATTCATTAATTTATGTTTCATTATATTTAAACTAATCAATATTTTTACAGGTGGGCAATGTATCGATCTCATTGATGACTTCAGATGCATTTGTGATGCTGGATACACTGGATCGAAATGTCAACATGAAGTTGACTCATGTGAATCAGACCCTTGCCAGAATGGTGGTACATGCATCGATCATTTGGATGGCTTTTCATGCTTATGTCGACCTGGATTTGTGGGTGTTCAATGTGAAGCAGAAGTTGATGAGTGTATCAGTGGGCCCTGTGATGCAGCAGGAACTGAAAAATGTATGGACTTGGATAATGGCTTCAAATGTCAATGTAATCCTGGTTACATGGGTGAACTATGTGAGGTAAGTAGTTTGTTCTTATGAGAGTTCTCCCTAGGAATAAAAAAGGGCAGGGCTCTTCCTCACAGAAAAGGGAACTTTGAATTTTGAACCTCAAAAATTTATCAAATTGTGTAATAGTATGTAATAACTGAATTTGATCCTCTACAATTTTTAAATTACCCTCTTATACTATAATATGCATATATTTCAAAAAGTAATTCTCGCACATTATCAAAACGAAAGAAAAATTTATAGTTAATAAAAAAATTATTAAAGGCATTCTAAACGGCAATCTCTAAGTATAATTTTTTTTTTTAAAGTAAACTAAAAAAATTATTAATTGATAAACAACTTGAAAGCTTTTATCTATATTTTAAATTGAAAATTATGAAAACATAAACATTTTAAGAAATGAAAAAAATGAACATTTTTTTATCGAAAGGGCATTTATTTTAAAATCACTTAAATTTATTAATATACCCCTCACCCCTGTAAAAAAGAGAAACTTATAAAAATATAACCACTTGAGAATAATCCAAACAAAGCGAATATTAGCAATAGTAATCAGGATTAAGCATATTAACACAGATAATTTTACCAGTCTGTAATCATTATTTAAAAGTGAGTTATTTTTCTTAATGAGATATTGGTAAAAAGATAGTGTTTTAAAGGGATGGCGGCTCAATTCTACAAAAAGGGCAAAGGGGGCTCATTTATAGGGATTAAAGGGTAGATAGGGTGGGCCGTCCTTCTGACTACACTTATTTATTAATAACCATATATTGGAGCCTGGAACAATTTTATATGCTGTTTATATGATTGTTATTTATGCTAAATATTTAGCTGCTGGTTTTTTAAATGTTTACTTTAGGTCAACATTAATGAGTGTTCCTCGGACCCATGTTTGAATGGAGGCTCCTGTACTGATAGCATTAATGGATTCATATGTCAGTGCCCAATGGGATGGTCAGGTGATCAATGTGAATCTGATGTTGGTGGTTGTATGAAAGAACCTTGTTTAAATAGTGCCAATTGTATAGATCTCTTCCAAGATTACTTCTGTGTGTAAGTGTGTTACTATTTTAGTTGTCTAGTTTCAGTTTTTATGGATCCATCTTTAAAGAAATATTGCATTAAATGAAAATCTTTGAAAATGAAACTTTCAGACAAAATTTATTGTTCCCAACTTAAGATTCCCTAATAAATTTCCTACCAAGATTTTTCTTATTGTCTTCCTTAGTTTGAATATAATAGTTATCAAAATATTGCCGAGAAATAATTTTTAAAAATGTTACTTTTTATATTTTTCAATTGAATGTATTTCAATTCTCTATTTTGTTATTTAAATCACAATCAAACGTAATACTCGGTTCATTTCCCGTTTTTTGAAAATAAATTTTAATGGAAAAATATATTGTTTGGAGCTTTAAATTCCCTGCTGTATTTCCTAACAAGATTTTTTTAATGTCATTCTCAGTTTATCAAAAGATTTTTAAGTTTTGACATTTATTTGTTGTATTATTTAAATAACAGTCAAATGTTATACTAAGTTAATTGTATCAATTTAATAAAATATTAAAACTTGTGGTACTAAATATATTTTAATTGAGGAGAACAATTCTGTTGTTTTGAAGTATTACTATCAGTTAATATTTTTTTTCTTGTAATTTTAATCATATAAAGTGGGCAAATAAAAAAAAACTAAAAGAAAGTAAAATTGAACAAAACAAAAAATTTTATAAAAAAAAAAGTTTAAAAAAGTAGATGAATTTCCTTGTTCTTGGTTAATCAAAAAGTGCCAAATGTAAATATAGTGAGAAAAAAAAAAGAGAAATCATATCTACATTTCTCATCATGATGTGTTTTAGTACTGCTAATGATATTTATTTATTTATCCATTATCTTTTTTATCCATTGATATAGTTTACTGAAACCATTGTCTACCTTATAAGCATTTTTATCTCTGCATTTATTTATGTTCACCTTTTTTTGTTTTTTTTTAAAGGTAATTAAAAATGTTTCTTTTTTAACAGCTGCCCATCAGGAACTGATGGTAAGAAATGCCAAACTAGTCCACAACGATGCATAGGTAATCCTTGCATGCATGAGGGTATGTGCCTGGATTATGGAAGTGGACTGAACTGCTCCTGCCCTGCTGAGTACACTGGCATTGGCTGTGAATATGAATACAACCCTTGTGAGGATAATGTTTGTAAGAATGGTGCTACCTGCACTAATGTGGCTGATACATTCTTCTGCAGTTGTCCTGCAGGATTTACAGGCAAATACTGTGATGAAGACATAGCCGACTGTGGTCCAAATTCTTGTCCTACAATAGCATCATGTATAGACCTGACAAATGACTTTTATTGCAAATGTCCATTTAATCTAACTGGAGAAGATTGCAGAAAAAGTAATTTTTTGTACTTATTATTTTATTTATGTTCTCTGCTTTTAAACGAAACGAATATAATTTTAAAGAGATGTGTATAAGTTCTTTATAAATCTGAGATTTTTTCCCCACGCTAACAGATTTTATAAAATGTCGAGAATTATTTAAATTTTTTTTTTCTTTAAATGAACATTTACAAAAAATATTTTCCATTACTGTAGCAGGGTTGCCACTCCACAGGGAAAACCTGGAAAATTCAGGGAATTTTGATTTTTTCCCTACAAACTGGGAAAATACAGTGAATTTTGTTTCTTATTTCGGTCTTTTAAAAAATGGTGACCACTCTATAATCTATGGGATATTTAACCATAATATTTCAGTTTTACTAAACTATTTCATATACTATAACATTATTTAAGTATGCTCAGCAATTATAACTAATTAATATAGTTAGCCCAATATACCTCATGCAAGAGCACAGTAATTGCTTTTTCCCCTTAATATATTGTGTATAATATGTACAGGGAAAACACAGGGAATTTTTTTTCCAGATTTGAGTGACCACCCTGTGTAGATATGAAGTCTTACATTTATTTTTAAACAATATAAATGCCTTCATTATTATTTTTTTAAAATAATTTAACCCTATTTTCCCCTTAAACATGTTTTTATTTATGAAAGTATTATATTTTTATTGAAAGCTGATAGAATTCTTTTTGAGCATTTTGGGTCTAAAGTATTTGAGGAAATCTAATTAGACATTAAAGATAAAAATAAAATCTATCTGCTTCTTAAGAGATTTTCTTTTATATGCTCATCAAAATATTTTTTTATTCATATTTTACTGATACTGTTATTTGTTTAGTTTTAAATCAATCTATAATTTAAATATAATTATTTTCAGCTGTGAATATTGATTATGACTTGTACATAAATGATGACAGCCATTCTTCGAGTGTAGCTTTAGCTGCTCCTTTTGATTTAAATACAAACAGTCTCTCAGTTGCATTGTGGGTTCAATACAACAGTCCCAACTCGAAAGGAGTATTTTTCACTCTCTACAGCGTCAAGTAAGTATTATTTAATGTTTTTCTTTTTGTGCAATATAATATTAAAAATATTTCTTGATTAAAACTTACTTTTAAAAAAATTCCGTCGAATGAATTCTGAAATATAAGCTAATATTGTAATTTTTTTAAAAAATATTATTTGAAACTGAATGCAAAAAGAATTTTTATTGTTTATGCGAAAAGTTATTATTGCAGTTTTGTGGTGATAGACTGACTTACTCATGAAATAATTTTGTATCAATAATTCATTTTCTGAAATTTTCCATTCAAAAATTTTTTTTGTAATGTCTTTCTGAAATAATTTCATTTTAATTAAATCATTAATGTTTTAATGGTTAGTTAATTATTTTCATAGAAAAAGATGTGAGTTTTTTCCAATCATTAGTTAAAAATAAAAACCAAAATTTAATTTTATTTTGAAAAAATAATAAAATATTTTGAAGTAAATTATAAAAAATAATTTTGTTCGATTAAAAAATAAAATAGCTGTTTAAAAAAAAGTATAAACTTTTACCTTTAAATTCGATTATCTAAAATAACTTTTTAGTGATTTTTACTAATTTTACTTTGCTTTTAACTTTTGTCTAGTGTTTAATTTTTATACTATTAATGTACTTTATAAAATTAATGCATATTTTGATGTGTTTTTTTATATTTATGATATTATTGCATCATCCAATAATAATAATAAGTTTAAAACATTTATTTTTAATTTATAAGATTTGCTATTTCAATACCTAAAAATATTTCAATTATAAATTTAAATATTAGTAAATTTTAAAAATCTGATTCTTTTTCTATCATTTTTATTAACAAACAGTTTTTAAGCATTCTTAATATTGTTAATTTTAAGCACTTTATTGATTTTAAATTCTTATTGCAGCTCTGCTCACTTACCTATTGGAAAAAGAGTTCTCATCCAAGCAGATGATACTGGAGTTCTTATATCATTATTCCCAAATGTTACAAATGATATATTTTTAAGATACCTTGAAAATGTACCTATAAATGATGGGCAGTGGCATCATCTTGTCATTTCATGGGATGGAGCAGCGGGCACAATTATGATTATGATGGATACAGCCTTAGCTGGATTTGTTGAAGGATACGTTTCTAATGCCTCTCTTCCAAAATAGTAAGTAATTACAGATATGATTTTACACATCCTCATCCCTCTTTTTCTTTGCCCCAGTTCTTTCCAAATTTTAAGTGTTTAAAAATCAAGATTTAATTTGATTGATTAGCATTAAAATATACTATTCCTAATAGTAATCGCTAAATAATGTGTATGCTTTTTTATAATAATGTCAATTAAAAACAATAACTGTTTTAAAAAACAGGATTAAAATTGATTATTTATTTATTTATTTCCAGGGGCATAAATAGTATTGAATAATAATAGTCAAAGTGTTATTAAATTATTTCATCAAAAAATATTAGAAACTGTCATGTAAATTTACAATATAAGTGTTGAAAACAATTCCTTAAAATGTAACGTTTGTCCAGTAGAAAAAAAATTCTTTTTAATTCTTTTGTTTTTTAAATATTTGATCTAAAAGTCACACATAAAACAAAGGTAATATAAGTGAAAGAATCAGCACTTTGTTAATTGCATAAAAAAATATCCTTGAAAAAATCGGTACTCCATCAGATATATCTAAATTAGACCAATAATTGCCAAACCTGTAGATTGCATAAAATTGAATTCATATTTTCTAGAAATGTAAGTTTATAGGTAATAAACCAAATATAAGAATTTTTTTTTAAAAAAAGTCAAATTCTTTTGGTTGGTAGCTCACAATAGAATTTGAAAACGGTACAGTAGCTTGGAATCTTAATAAATTTGGGAACTTTGACTGAATTATGACTTTTTGCTGAAACAGGAAAATCAAGAATCAATAACTGATTTTGGTTTCCTTATAGTTGTCTAAAATTAATTCAAAAATTTTAAATAAAAAATGATTGAAACTGTGTTGAAAATCAAGGAATAAGTGAACATTTTTACATTAGGCAAAGTTTGTTACAATTATTTTTGCCCTGCATTTAGGTAAGGCTCTAATTGTAATTAAATAATATATTGCTAACTTGAAAAGATGTACTAAAATTTCTTAGATTGAACTTATTTATATTTTAAGCACTGTATTAATCTTCAACAGTAGAATATAATTATCTTTTATCATTCTGCTTCATAACTGCATATTTATTTTGCGTTATTCTTATTTTTCTATGTTAAAAGTGTAATTAAGAACTGTAATATTTTAAACTCAAAAACTGAAGTAATTTAAAAGAACAGTTTAGAAGAATTTTTAAAATCCAAATTATGAATTCACCAATTGTTTGCTAGACTTGTTTTGGAATTCATTTTTTTATATAAGTAATTAAAAAGTAATGTAATTCATAGTTAAATTATTTTATTTCTTAAAAATAAATAGGACTAATTAAGATTTTTTATTCGTAACCTCATTGATTTAACAAATAAAAAAAATTTCAATGTTTGATCATTTTTTTTCAGTGGATGGGTTAATTTAGGAGCACCACTTAATGATGAAAATAAAGCAATAACTGGAGCTGGATTCCATGGCCGATTGAGTCGTGTCAACATATGGGATCGTACATTGGATGTAACAGCTGAATTGCCAACTCAGTTCCGAGATTGCAGAAATGCTCCTGTTTTATTTCATGGATTGCTACTTAGATGGACTGCTTATGACAGGTACATAGATTTTGATAGATTTGATGTATTTTAGGAAAGAAAGTTTATCGGTTATGTTGAACTTATTTATTATGAGTCCTAATTTAATGAGGTCCTTGGTTTAACGAAGAAATTTTTAGTTTGATGTTATAAAACTCTGTTATTATAAAACTCAGACTTACTAAGAAACTTTTTTTAAACTTCTTGTAAATCATTATATTGAAACTTTCTACAAAAAAGCATATTCTATTGTTTGTGAAAGTTCCATTCCCTTCAAAAGGGTTTTTAAAACAACTTTTAATTCAATTTTTCGAATACTCTATGTTGATAAACAATAGAGAAAAATGATATAAAATTCCTCAAATGTCTTGTAATGTATCATGTTATATTACATTAAGTAACAAAAAATGTTATGTTAACAATTGTATGTATTATATGCCTACTGCTGCTCATGTGTCTGCATATATTTCCTGACCTTGGAACAAAACAATTAAACCAAGATAAACGAGGAAATGCAGTTTGTCAAAAATATAAACTTTTCAAGGTGTAGCAAACAATGAGTTAATCATTATATTTCATATGATGCATGTTGTCTACCAAATAATTACTGAGATTTCATCAGAAAAATATTTAAATGTTAAGGCATTTTCAAGTTTAGTTTTGCAACGTTTTTACGGCAAATAAAAGTTTAACAAATTAGAAATAAGGAATTTTCATATCAAAGGAACTGGTGTCGAAAAGTTAAGCATACTTTCACATTGACCATTTGTGTAAAATTATGCTTAGCTTCAGGAAAAAAGTATAAAATCATTTGTTTAGAAAGTTTATTTTTCTGTATTTAAAATATATTGAAATAGCAATAATTTTTCTCGTGCAATTTTTCAAAATCGATAATATATTAGATTAATACTCTTATTTTCAGATTATTTACTTTATTGTGTTAATTTTCTTTTTCAAATTAAACAAAATAATTAAATAATTTTTAATCACAGTTTTACAAAAAATTTTACTTTTTATCCTAAAACTTCATTTATTTTTTTAAAACCAAATCTTGATATTGTAATTTTCATTTTTCAACAGGGTTGTTGGTAATGTTGAAAGGCAAAGTCCAGGTATATGTGGGGAAAAAGTTTGTCCTGTTGGATACACGGGTGATAACTGCCATATTTTACATAAAGACAAGACACCACCTGAATTACTCTATTGCCCACCTGACAAATGGGTCATCAGTAATAAAAAGTCAACATCAATATCATGGGATGAACCTCGATTTACTGATGATTTGCGATCAGTCAAAATAATGGAAATGAATAGGTTGGAATCTGGTAAGATGTGTTTCTTGAATTGTTATAATATTATAATTTTTTTGTAGGAGTCAATTATAAATTTTTTTTTTAATGTATCCAGGTCAATCACTTTCTCGAGGAGCTCATGATTTGACATACGTAGCAACAGATGAATCTGGTAATACTGAAAAATGTAGTTTCCGTATCAACATAATGAGTAAGTTTATTTGTTAAAACTTTATATTTTGCTATACATCTTTATTATTTTAATTCTTTTAGAATATTTCAACTTTGTAGTCATTAAATTTTTACATTATGATAAGTGTTCAATTGTTGATCCCTTAACTTTTAATATGTTAATATAATGTTAATCATTCAATTATATTAATATTATTAATGAGCTGTGGGGGGGATAGAGCATTCACCTTTCAATGAGGTGAACTGGATTCGAATCCAGCCTGTTTCGGTTGATACGAATTCCGCACCGGCCACGTTACTAACGTAAATTATGCTCAAAGGTAGATAGATTATGGGTAAGTCCCATTGCCGCTAGGCTAACTGAGGGAGGTTTTTCTCTCCATGTAACACTAATACAAGTTAGTTTGATCAAAAATCCTCCACAAAGGCAAATTTTTCCCAATACTTGATCTAGAAGTTCCTTTGTCTTCTGGATTGGGTTCAAAATTATAAGGCTACGAAGTTTAACGTTAGTAGTTTCTTGATTTGGGTCTGCTGTTCAATACAGGTTATAAAATTAAATATTATTATTAAATTATATTAAACATATTGAGTAAAAATGCTTTTAATTTTATAAATAATAATAATTAAGGATGTATGCATGAATAACTGTGTTTTCATTTTCAGTATTATTAAGAATCAACTAACAAACTGAGACTGAAGATATACAGACAGATGACAAACTTGACAATAAAGATATAATTTTAACCAATTTATTGTAATATAGTAAAATTAGTGGGAGAAAAATGAAAATTCAGGGTTCCCACGGGTCAGGGAGAACAGGAAAAACCTGGAATTGTCAGGGAATTTTATTTCAACTCCAAAAATCAGGGAATAGTCATAGAAAATTGAAATTGTTTTACAAAAACCCGGAAAATTCCTTCTTCCTTCATTATACCTGGAAAAAAAACAGTCTTAAAATTGTCAGTAACAGTACTTAGTTATCGAGATTCGAGTTAAATCATTCTAACATCTATTACAATTATTTATTGTTAAAATTTCACATTTTAGACAAACTTCTTCCTTCCTCGTATAATGATATTTATTTTACACTGAAAATCTGTTACTTGGCATTACACAAGTAAAAGAATCAAAATTTTCTGATGAAAAATTTCGTAGTATAGATAAAATATGATATAGATTTTTCATTGAAATTTACCTGATATACCTGGAAAAGTCGGGTTTTTTTTTTTCTGTAATTGAGTGGGAACTTGTAATGAATAGAAATTAAAAATATGAGTGTTTTTTAATATATTTTTTATTAATAACTATAAAAGAACGAGTTATGATTTTCTTTAACTTTATTTTCAATTTTAGGAAATCTCTAAAGTTTTGACATTATTTATCCTAACAGTCATTAATTCCTAATATTAAAATCTTGCATTATCTATAAAATATATTATTTAGATTAGCAGTTTTATTGTTTTCAAAGGCTTGTATTTCTTAAAATACTACTTTATTTTTTATAGTAATGATATATTTTTATTATCCTAGGTGAGTTCTGCACAATACCTATGCCACCTATTGGAGGTCAACTTGGTTGTGCTGATTGGGGACCCGGAGGAAACTTTAAAGTTTGCACTATAACTTGTGACGAGGGACTTGAATTTTCAGAAAACATCCCTCGATTTTATACATGTGGAGTAGAAGGTTTCTGGAGACCAACTGAGAATCCTAACCAGCCATTTATATTCCCCGCCTGTGCCCGTATGTTTGAAAAAATTTTCTCATAATTTTAAAATATTTCATTTTATCTATCTCATTTTAGAGACAATTCTAAAAATGCTTAAGTTCACAAAAATGATTTTTTTTTACTTAATATCAAATTAATTCCTTTTATTTACTTCATCTTTTTAGATGTTAACAATTTATTGTATTGTTTGATTTATAATGTAACCTTTTATTTAACTTGCCTGCATTTAAGTCCTAACCACCCTTTCATACTTCCAGCTTGTAAAATTTAAAATTTTTCTCATAATTTTAAAATAGTTGATTTCAACAACCCTATTTTAAAACAATCTGAAAAATGCATGAACTCACAAGAAATATTTTGTCAGCATTAATTTAAAATTAGTTTTTATTTTTTAGTTGATAAAGTAGTGTTTTATATCCCAGTATTATTTATATAAGTGTTATGTATTAATTAGTTCTCATTATTTATTAGTTAATTCATTTGCATTTAGTCTTTTTTTTTAAATTTTTTATCTAGAATTAGAATAATTATATTTTAATAAGGTTTTTTTTTGTAATTTTGCAATGCAACTCAAAATTTTGTGAATGAGGTTCAAATAAAACAAAGCGTTTTTTTGCAGAATGTTTCCTTTAGTAATTTTTTAAAATTTGTTATTAATATGTAAAATATTATTAAAAAAACATTAATTTAGGCATTAATAGGGTTTAAAATATTATTAATATAAAAGAGCAACATTTTATTAAAATAAAATATACTGTTATATGTTATGTCATACTGTTATAAGTGAAATTTTATATTTCAGTATTTTTGCTAAATTTAGTAAGTTTTTGATGAGTAGAATATTTGGTTTTCTATGAAATAGCTACTAGATGGAGGTAAAAACATGTATGAAATTCGTCAACTGTCAAACTTATATCTTAATGCTATTTCAGTGTTGCTTTTTTTCCGTATTTGTTTATTGGATCACATACCTGATAAAGTAGCTACGAAATAATATGAGTTAATTTCTGTTATATATTCTTAGAATATTCTTAATATTAAAATTAATATTCTTAATTATAATTCTTATAATTCTCAACATTAATATTCTTAGAATTAATGTAATATTCTAGGATTTTAATTTCTCATACATTTTATCATACATAATAATTTAACAGGTAAGAAACCAGCTCGTCGAATCTTCCGCATTGCTATGGATTTCCAATCATCTGTTATATGCTCAGACTCAGGACGTAAAATTCTTCATGACAGAATTAAAGACAGCTTAAGAAAGGTTAACAATGATTGGAATATTTGCTTGGATGATGGTCCCGATACTAATTGTGGTGATATGAAAGTTATTGTGAAATGTAACAAGCAGTCAAGAGGAAAGAGACAAGTTGAAGCCAGTGATATTTACACAATTGAAGTGCAATTTCCAGCTAAAGAGTAAGAATTTTTACAATTTCATTTCAAATTATATATTACCATATATTAGTTTTTTCCTTAAAAATTATGATTTTCTCATTTTTTTTATGTAATTTGAATTTTTTTCTGGCCATTTTGTCTTTTTTTTTGTTGTTATTTTTCAGAGGATGTCAAAAAATAATTACACAGCTGAAAATTTGCTATCCTGCAGTTTTTCAAAATGCACAGAACTTAAAAAATCGAACTATCAACTTGCCGATTGAGAAAGATTGAAGTCACAATGGCAATTCACATTTTTTTATGGCTCACTAGGGGAAAAAAATTTTGCGAAGTTACAAGTTTTGATACTTTAATTGAGGTTACTATTCTGGTAACTAAAATTAAGAATAGACAAATTGTTAAAATTAAAAAAAAATTTAAGTATTTGGGTAGTTTAAATGATTTTTTCCAAATTAAGAGGAGGCTACGGGGAGGGAAAAACCCTTCAGGGCAAATTCTGTTACACCTCCATTAATGATTTAAAATTTTAGGTAACAACAGTAAAAAAAAAAAGCAAGTTCAGGTAAACCCATAAATTTCAAAAGTAGAAAAAAATATTTTTAAAACATCTAAAAACAAGCAAATTATGGCACAATTACTCATTATTATGCAATAAGGAAATAATCATGTCATAATTTGTTTTTATTTTGATTTTTTGAAGTAAAAAAATTAGAGCATTTGAAACTTTGATTTACTCTAGGTTTTACTTTTATCCGTACTTTTAATTTTAATTTACTAATGGAGGTAAAACAGAATTTGGCACTTAGGGCACTATAAGAAAGGGAAGGTTGTTGATAGTTTAAAAATAATCAGTCAACTTTATTTTTATAAAAATTATGCCAGCTTAGAATTTTACTTCATTGAGAAATAATCTTTATAATCATTTATTTATTTATTTATTTGCTCATTTTTTGACTAGTTATTTTCTATTTTGCATACAATTTTATCCTCTGATAATAGTATAAACATCTTATGGAATTTATAAATGAGATAATAAGACAATAGTATTAGTTTTAAGTAATTTTACGTTTTTTTTTTATTATTATTTTCTGTTTAATGATTCTTTTGTATTCTCTATGTAGCTTTTTGTATATGTTTTAATACTTTTTATCAAAAAAATTATAATATTTTTAAAGTGATCCTGTGAAAAATAAAAACAGTCAAGAGAGGTCAACTGTGCAAGAAGTTGCTGAAAATGCTATTCTGCAAAGATCTGCTTTTGATGTCCGCAATATCCTGCCAAATGTAATGCCAGATTTGACTTCATTGAGAATGGTTACTGACTATGCTTGTCCTCTTGGTGAAGTTGTCATGGGATCTAGCTGTGGTTAGTATAATTAAAGTTTTTAATAATTGTCGATTGTTTACATCTCCAAATAGTTATAATGTTAGGTATTTTCCATATAAGAGCATTAGTGTGTAATTAATAAATCTGGTTTTAAAATTCTTAGTAAATGAATTTGCATAGAATTCCATTTATTTTTAAATTTGAACTAAAATATTACAGTAAGTTAAATGACATAACTTTGTTAACTATCAATTTAAGTGGATAAGTTTCTTTGCATCATCTGTTAAAAGTTCGTGTACTTTGGGAAGTAATTGTTATCATATGTTCTTGACAATAGCTTAAAGGGCTTAATATTAAACTTGAAGGAAGGGAATACAATAAAAATTAATGTGTTTGAAAGTATATATGTGTGAATAATATCATAATACCCATTAAAAAACTACTAAAAAGTTTTTTTTTGCAAATTTTATTTTCTATCTTGCATTTTTTTCTCTGTATTTAACTTTAAATTATCTACTGGAATTTTAATTTTTTTTTAAAGAGATTGAATGTTGCAACAAATCCAATTTACTTCAGAAACCTTTCTAAAAATATCCCTTATAAAATAGAATATTTTGATTTTATGCAAATAAATTTTGTTCTTTTTGCAATAATAAATATTCAATATCTTTTTTTTAAATATTTTTTTACTTCTAAATAATACATAATTTATAAAATAATTTTAACTAATTTCTAAGTGTCATAAATATAAATAAATGAATTCTTATAGATGTCCTTCCTAAGCTTACGTGTAAACCCTACCCAAATATAATATTTTGTTTCCTTTCAGTTGAGTGTTCTGTTGGTACTTATTATGAAAATGCAACTACAGACTGCCATTCTTGTCCTATTGGTTTTTACCAAAATGAAATGGGATCCCTTGCCTGTAAACCTTGTCCACTGATTGATGGGCGACAAGGTACTACCCAGTCTACTGGAGCTAGATCTGATGATGAATGTAAAGGTAAGGAGCTATTTTTTTTATCATTTTAAATGTTTTTATGTGTATCTATGTGCACTAATGCATATGGATCATGGAATATTATATGTTATAGTTAAAAACTATGATATGCTATTGATGAGTAAGGACATATAAAGAATAAATAAATTTGAATGCTAAGAATAATAAGAATAAATAAATTTGAATCTAGAATAAGTAAATTTGTACATTTACTTATTCTAGAAAAAAAAATACAGATAGTCCTATGACAAGAATTTGTAAATTGGTTTTTATATGATAATTAAATTACCATGAAAAGATAACTATTTTATGTAGCTACATTATTCTCTTTACAAAATATGGTTTGCTTGAATTAAAACATAAAACAAAATACTCTCAACTATAAAAAATCTTTAAATCTCTGAATATATCTTTTCTAGCACATTGTTCTGCTGGAAATTACTATGATGAACAAGTTGGAGCCTGTTTGCCTTGTGGTTATGGATTCTATCAACCTGCAGAAGGAACATTCAACTGTATACCTTGTGGTGCTGGCCTTACAACGCGCCGTAACCAAGCAGTATCTAAACTAGAATGCAGAGGTAACTTTTTTCAGATAAGCTAACTGCTAAAAAAATCTTGTATTGATTTAATTGCTAAAGATAGTTTAAGAAGTAAATTTAAATTAGAACTTCTCTTCGATTTTTTTTTTAAAAATGTTATTCCATAATTTTTAAAAGGAATTTTAAAATGTTCATTAATATGTCTGCAATGGCATGCATCAAAAAGTCATATCTTTTCACACGAGTATGACCACAGTCCTGTAATCTTTATATTAAGTTCTACCAAGTTTTAAAATTATGCAGTTTAAATTGGTTTAATTTTTTTCTTTTCTAATGTAATGAAAAGTGTCTGTCCACTGTAGTAATAAATCATTTTAGTCTAAATTGATTAATAAAGTTTTAGCATTCACAGACTCTCATAAAGACGTAGTATGTATAAAATGTTACTAATTGATAAAATTGCAGAGCACAGCAGAAGTCATTATAGAAAGAAAAAAAATAGAGAAAAATAGTGATTAAAATTTTTTGAAAAGTGATAAATCGTGACTTAATTAAAAACAATGTTAATATCCTTTCAGCATCTTAACAAACTTAAAAATACACAAATAAAAGAGAAGAAATTGATTTAAAAACATTTATTGCTATAGAAATCAAATATAACTTTATATTACATTTAAAGTAATTGCTATTGAAAAATTTTTCAAATAAAATTACATAATAAATATTTTCTAATTTTTCCTAACTAAAAAATAATGTTTAACTCCATCTATTACAGCTTAAAGTATATTAAAATAGCAGTGAAAGTAAGCAAGAAAAATATTGTCGCTATCATGTAAAGTCAATACATATTTATTAATTGCACTCATTTGTTTTTTTTTTTTTTTTTTTTTTTTTTTTTTTTTTTTTTTTTTTTTTTTTAATGAATTCCTAACAGAGAGGACTTTTTTTCAAGAGTATAAAAACGATGTGTTTTTTAATATGACACGGAGAGCTAAATGAATGTTAAATAGCCGTTATTATTGCAAAAATTTAATCTATAAAAAATTTAAACAATGTAGTTTTAGAATGGGATTGAGGTGAAAAGAGTAAAGCAAAAACTGATCACTAAAATACGAAATAATAATATTATAAAAGTATCAAAATTGCAAAAATGCGTGGAAATTGCCAAAAAACGACTAATTACTGCTTAAAAATTCACGATGATGTACAATAGAATCGTCACAAACAAAGTGCACTCAAAAAGTTTTTCTACCTTAACCCCTTAAGGCAGGGGTAGGCAACGCGACGCCCTTGAACGATTTCTAATGCGCCCTCACTGGACTAATGTAAATGTATGATAGCCAGAGCGATTTACTTAACTCTTGTCAAACGGCGATTTACAGCAAGTAGTCAGTTGAGTTTAGGATTGTGCATGATTATCTGTAAAATATGCGCCCTCGGTGATTTTCAAATTTAGTATTGCGCCCTTAAGGACAAACAGGTTGCCGACCCCTGCCTTAAGGATTCGCCTATAGAAACAAAAGTCCTTCTCAAGGTCCCCACCCTCTGAGTTGCTAGGGTCACAAAGGTCTCGTTTCATATGATACCCCGTGGGCTGTGAAAGAAAAATCGTGCCATCATAAAATATGATCATGATCCTAAAGGGGTTGAATTTGAATTATGCACGCCTTAACATCGGATAAAAAGGATAATTTTCTTTTTTAAAAAAAAGAGAGAGAGAGAGAAATAGTCGAAGAAATAGTGGATTTACTAAAAAACTAAGCATATCAAAAAGTGATTTTTTTAATAAATCGGTAACAAATTTTTTTTACATAAATCTGAAATTTATGTGTCGTATACATCGCATTAATTAAAAATGTAACATATTAATATCAAATGTAATGGATGAAATAGCCTTGAAGTGAATGAGTAAAATAGTGTAGCATGCTGTAATAACAGCGTATTAAAAATATCAAAAATTAATAAACCATGGAGAAAGGGTGGAAAAATTATAAATAATAGCAAAAAGCTATTCTTCAATGATTAGAAATTATGCTAGACCCAAGAGCTATTTTAGAATGTTTAGCTTAAGCAAAAATAACCATGATATAATTAATTCAGTGATGAGTTTGTTGAAATTAAATAAGAATTTTGAAACATTTTAGTTAGAAATATCTACTATTTTAGCTATATTATGGTTTTTAAATAATATTAAGTAATGTTAATATATTTTCAGATGATTTCACCGGTAAAGATTTTTTAAAAAAATCAAAAAATCCGTTTTAAATATAATACAAAATCATGAATTTTGTCAACCCTGCTTATAAGTAATTTAGACATGTCTATGTGCTAATATATTTTTTTCATTTTAAAAATAAAATACTTCATTACTCTGCAGAGGAATGCCTGTCAGGATATGAGTTAGATGAGAATGGGGAATGTGTTCCCTGCCAGAGAGGCTATTTCAGGTCTAGAGGTATGCCATCCTGCCAACAATGTGTTCCTGGAAAAACAACGCCTGAAGTTGCAGCCACCAGTGAACAAGAATGTTACCTAGGTAAATAAAAACAATGAATATGTTGAATCTTTGATGAAGTTTTTATGATAAAGATGTACAATATCTTAAACATATTGAATTGTATCATCATACACTTATAAAAATTTAAGCTTAAATATTAACAAGATTTAAATATTAATAAATTAGGAAAGTATGTATTTTGACAAAATTCTTTTCCTTTTTAATGTGAAAAGTAGGAAGTTTCTCATTTTAAAAAAATCATTTAAGACCTGGAGGTCTATATATATATATGCAGTGAAACCTCTCGGGAGCGACCACTCTATGTTACACAATAAAATGGTCGTTAATGGAAGTTTGCCGTTCTTGGTTACCTTCATTGACTTCAGAAGGTTATCGAAGGTATATGATTTATCGCAAGCAATTTTAATTTTGCCCAGTTTCATTTTCTTGGTGCGGAAATGCTACTTGTGTTGGCGTCATGAAAACCAGATCGATTATTAAAATTTAGCACCTATAAAAATAACCTTTACTGATATAATGTGTAAAAACAAACTCACCAATTATGACTGATAGAATTGTTTTAATTAAATAAAAAATTATGTTCTTTGTTTAAGTTTGCTTTTAATTTTATATCATTAAAATTAGTTAGTTTAAAAAAAAAGATTTGTTTTACTTAGTTTTGCTAAAATAACTATTTTTTTTTTCTAATTTAAATTTTAACTCTAAAAATAAGTCTTTGATAGAATTGTTTTTAGTGCACTTTGACTGCAACATGAAGTTGTCTTTCCATGATCGCTTTCAGAGATAGTCAAAAAGAACTCTATAAATAAGAGCCACTCACAATTTTTTTGAATAAATTTGAATGGACTTATTCGTTTTGCTTTTTTTTCATTCATATATTTGATCTTTTCCACATTTGGTGCGGAGGTTTGCCTGGTCGTTTGGAAACGTTTCACGGTATCTTCTAAACGTTTTCTTCCGTAGAAAAAAATTTGTGCATCTCAAAAGTGGTTTTAAATAGAGGAGATTGTTATACAGAGGTGATCTTTCCTGGAGGTTTCAATGTATATAAAGAGTCCAGAGATTTTCACTGCAATGAATTTCATTTCGAAAAACTTAGAAGACTTTTTTTCTAGAGACTTTTAATATTTTGAAAAAAAAAAGTGGCAGACTGAAAACTTTTTTATTGAGAAAAAATTTAGATCAATTCATACGAAAAAGATCAAAATGGTAGCAAGAATATTAATTACTCAAAAGAGGGAACTGCAGATTTCACTGTTAATAAATTCTTTTCTTTTGCATTCTAGCTTAAAAATATAAAATGAAATATTTTAACATTAAATGAATGTTTAAATGTTATAATAAGATTGGTACGAGGATTATAACACAGACTCTTACTGGTTTTCATTTTTTATACCTATATTTTCTTCATTCCTTATATGAATAATAATAATTAAAATAAATTTAAGTTTAACAATGTATTTCATCTTTTTCAGCCATATGCAAACCAGGCATGTTTGTTGACCCATCAACCCAAGATTGTATTTTGTGTCCTAAGGGAACGTATCAAGATAAGGAAGATAGGATGTCAGATTGTATTAAATGTCCCCAAGATACAACAACAGAAGGAGCTGGGGCTACTTCTCTTGAAGATTGCTCTAATCCTTGTTTTGTGAATGGCAGAGAAAGGATTTGCCAATCAAATGCTGCATGTGTGTACCATGAAGAGATTGATAAATTTGCTTGTGAATGTTTGCCCGCATATGTCATGAAAAATTCAACTCAAGAATGCATTCGTAAGTTTCATAATGTAGCTTTATATGTTTGAATTGAATAATGAATTAATTATTTTGGTAGCATAATTTCAACCTTTCAATAGTCATGAAAAACTAAAAAAAAAAATGCTTTTGTAAGTTTAAGTTAAAATATGTTTTGATATGTTTAACTTGATCGCAAAATCAATAATTTTGGAAGCATTAAGTATATTTCCAACTTTTCAATAGTCCTTTGTTTTGAAGGACTTCTGAACTTAATTTTGTATTGAATTTGAAATAGTCAATTATAAATATTACTTATTAAGTTTTAGTAAAAAAATATTGTAAATTATTTTTAAAGGGAAAAAAGTAGATAAAAATAAACTTTTGCATTTGATGTAAACAACATTTTCTTATTCCGGCTGTCATGAAATCCATTTCTTTAAAATTAAAGGACATTTCTTTGTAACAATAATTTTCCCTGCAATAACATAATATATACCATGAAACAATTAAAAATATATTTGTTTAATATTTTATGAAGAAATTTAACATACAAGAGATACAAACTATTGCAGAACAAATCAAAAATATATAGTGCTGCAAAAACATAACAACGGGGGCAGTCATTTAAAGGTTATTAATGAAATTTTAATCTAAAACAATGTATTTTTCAAGTTATGTATTTTTTCAATGTCACGTTTAAATTATACCATGTAAGTACATGGCAATGATTGCAGAAAAAATGCAATGCAAGCAGTGTACCATAACAAGTGTTAACCATACCATAGGTACTAGTTATAGTGCACTTAATATGATGTATTAAATACATCTTATGACACATTCAAAATTATGACCTTAGATACCTATAATTGAATTATTAATGAACATCTAGACTTATAGACTATTCAAACAATGATATTTTTTACGGAACTTAATATGACAGATTAAGAAATATTAAAAAGAAAATAGAACTGTAGTAATTAAATTCTTGAATGAACATTATTTTTTCAGATGCATGTGAAAACTTCTGTGAAAATGGTGGCACTTGTGAGGTTAGTCCCCACACATTTAAACCGAGATGTATGTGCCCAGCTAACTTTTATGGTGATAATTGCACTGAGAAATCAGAATTTGTGTATGTTGCTAGTGGTATTGCTGGAGCTGTCATAGTTATCATCATCTTGGTGCTTCTTGTTTGGATGATTTGTGTGAGGTAAAAAATTTTAAATATAAAATATTAAAAATATCATTTATTTTTCTAATGATGTATATATTTTTATTAATGCATCATAAATACTTATCCTAAGTATTAAAGATGATCAGCAAGCAAATTTTTAAATAGTCTATTCTAGTGTAGTGATATAAATGCAGATAACGTTGCAAAAGGGGTTATAATCTTTTGCTGATCCCTGTATCTCCTGCTAAATTGAGAAACATTACACTTCAAAACAAATAAAAAATTTGAAGCCCTAAAGCTACTTCGGAAAAATGAGATCATCAACACTCGACCCTGGTCGAGCATCTATCTTTTAATGCCCATGGTGGAAGAGCCACATAATTTCGATCCTGGTCAGGAGACATGGACGAGCTGGTACCTCTCTCTCCAAACTTTTTCTCCACAACCAATGAGAAGATTCTCTGTCACAGCAGATTTAACCCTCTGCTCAATTTTTGGACCGAAATCGCTTTACACTACTCGCCTTCAAATACGGTAATTTAGTGGACAACTAACGACATCTGTTGGTCAAAACGTAAATTAAACGTCTAATACTGCTAAACGGGATGCGCTCATGAATAAAGGAAGAAAAACACATGCCCGCGAGATGAGCAGATTTTGCTCAAATTGAGTTGCCCTTGGAAATCGCGGGATGAACAGTCAGAGGGTTAAACATGCACCTATCGGCGTATGCACACCTGCTGTTTTATCAGCCACCAGAATCGAACTCACTACCCCAGTTCTTCAGAGAGTAAGAGCGTCATCTTAACTGACTACACTTTCGACAAGGGATAGGGGTTTTTTTGCAACTCTTTGAAGATCCTCCTAACATCTTGCCTTTCAAATAATTGGAAGAACTGTAGAAGTTTATTTTCTGATGACTGACAGGACATTTGCACCATTTTGAACTTTCTTACTTTCTTCACTATATTTTTTGTAAGAGATGTTGATATAAATGACTAGCATCTGTCCAACTTACCAAGATGTTCGTAATTCATCTGTCTTCCAGACACTTTCCACCCATGGAGCTACTTCTTAGCTTTATTGGATTAAAACACTTCTCATGCTTGAAAGAGTAAATGTTGAATGACATAATTAAAAAAGTTTTGTGATACTTAATAACATTGCAATTTAAGATTTATTCAAATTAACTTAAATCTACTAATTGGTGGTTTCATAAGGCAAAATAAAAATAAATTACTATATAAATTATATATTTTAATGGAAAATTATATAATAATCTTTCCTTTAAGAGAAACGAGAAATAATACTATTGTTCTATAACAAGACCTGGCAATAATTTAGTTGTGTCCTTATTGTTTTGTTTACAATACTAGTCAAATCAACTAAGTTTCATCACATATAAACATATCACGCAACTATGGCCAAGTACCTAGCTTCATTCTTTTAACAGGCATAGTAGAAATGTCACATAACTTTGTCTCTAGTCAGATGATGTGGATGGCAGCTGAGCTGGTAAACCTCTCTTCAAACCTCCACACCAAAACCAATAAGAGAACTTTCAGCCACGACAGATTTAAAGTGCACCTTGTTGAGTGTACACGCCGGTTGTTTTGCATTAGGATCAAACTCATGATCCACCAATGTGAGCGACGCCTTAACCGACTGTATCACCAAAAACACTATCACATGTTAACATGGATGTTAAAAATAATGTTTTGTTAGTTAGCTATTCTAAAATGGGAACATTAAAAATTAACTATTGACAAATTAAGTGTTAAGGGGCAAATTAGGAAAATATTGTCACTTGATCCGAAGAACCAGCAACTAAAAGATATTACAAGTCTTTACACATTTTCTCTCATCATTTATATGTCTCTTAGATTTTTTTTTTACAAAAAAGTGGACAAAATGAATAAAAATTACAATGCAGGGAACATGTAATGTTACAAGTATGAGGAAATCTGTTTTATGACAAAAATGTAGAGTAAAATATGAACAAAAAAGAACAAAACAGCATACCAACCCTTAACATTGATTGTTGAACCACTAATAATTATTTCAAAGGGTTTCGAGTCGAATTTGGGTAGCCTTGGACCAACTGACCACCATTGATTTTAAGCCCGGATGATTATTTCTTAGTTTGTTTTTAATACCTTTCTCTTCAAAAAATTAATAAAATTTATTTTTTTGTTCTTTAGATCTACTCGTAAGAAGAAAATGCAAAAGATGCCAGAGCCTCATATGGACCTCACGGGCTCACAGACTAACTTCTTTTATGGTGCACCCGCTCCTTATGCTGAGAGCATTGCACCTTCTCATCACAGTACATATGCTCATTATTTCGAAGATGAAGATGACGAAGGATGGGAAATGCCAAACTTTTACAATGAAACCTACATGCAAGGTAAACGTGGCATTATTTATTAATTTTTATAAATAAAATTGCATAAATTTAGACAACATTATTTTGCAATTCCATTCAAAGCTTTAGAATTTTTTTTTTTTAACGCTTGAAGCTGAGGTTTGTTTAATTCGATAAAACTTCATTGGTAAACAGTTGCTGTTTCTTTCTCTCATTCTTTAAAACTGTTTTTTATGATGTTATTAAGTTGGATTGCAGCCTTCACATTTTTGAAAAGAAATATGTTAACTTAGTTGGTTGTCAACTTCAAATTTTGCATGCGAAATTTGAATTAGTAGCTCAAAACATGCTATTTACAAATTTACCCAAAATTTTTCTTTACATAATCGGATTTCATTAAAATATAAAAGATTAAAGTTGAAATTTATAGAACTATGCAAAACACATTGTAATATCAGAATTTATCATATTGTCTATTATTTGTGTTAATCACAAACAGTCTTGAAAAAAATACATTTTACTTTTTTTTCTAAAAATAAATAATAAAAAATAAGTTGCTAAAATAAATTAATTTTCAAAATTTTAATATTTACTACTTTTCAAAATGTAACTTAACATTTAAAGTGATGCCTTTAAGATTTTTAAACGTTTCATTTGAACAGTTATTAGCTAATTAGTTGGAAATCGATTTATTTAAAATCACTTGTATCATTTCTTCTTCACAGATGGTTTTCATGGGAAAACTAATACATTAGGTCACAGTAATGCCAGTATTTATGGTACCAAAGAAGATCTATATGATAGATTACGTAGACATCAATATCAAGGAAAGAAAGGAGGTACTAAAATTGTTTCTTTTTTTTTAACTTGTTTATAATTACATACTACTATAATTCAGCTACTATTATTTTTATTATATTTATTGAGGTATAATTTTTATGAACTACCAAGGAAGCTGAAGTGAATATTATAATATTTAAGAAAATGAAACACAGAAAGAACTACACCGAGAAAAATCTTAAAATCATAGGCAGTTATAAAAATTTACATAAAAAATCTAAATACTGTGATTGTTTACAATTATGATGAAACATACCATTTTGTGAATATAACAGATCAAAAAAAATTTAAAAAACCAAAACAGCATGCTAACATTTATATAGATTGCTGGTCCAGGACTGACTCTCTCTCTTTTTATTTTTTTTTTACTTTGTTCACCAAGTCAAACTCAAACTTATAAAATAAAAATTTCAAGAGAGATAAATTTTTCAACAACAATGGATAGATAATCATAATTTAAAGCAAAAAAAAAGACTAGAAATAATTCACAAAAAAAGCAGCAGGATATTCATTTATGTGCATTGTGAGTATTACTGTTTGTTTGAAAACTCAGCTACTAATTTGGAAGAATATGTCATTAACCATTTATTGCTACAAATCTAATGATCTTTACAAGTTTCTTTCACATGAAATATATTTCATAAAATATTTGAACTAACTATATTATTGTAAAAAAAATAATGAAGTTTTGGTATATTATAACCATTAAATGAAATATTTATATTCATTCTCATAATGTACATTGATTTGAAATTACCAATCTGGCCAATTAAGAATTAATAAATATATCATATAAAAATACAATCTTGCATACAGTTTTATAATTTGAAGATACAGCATCAAAAGTAGCCGAATCCTAAAAAATCAACAAGGAGCTAATCTTAGAATAGTTTTTAGAAATATGGAGGAAGTTTGATGTACATGATCAGGGGTCTGTTTAGAAGAAATTTGGGTCCGTTAACGGATCCTTCACATAATATCTTTTCATAAAAACGAACCCTTCACAAAATATTTTAACTTAAAAATGGACCCTTCACAAAAGGATTTTTCTTTTAATCGGACCCTTCACAAATTTTTTTATTTTCATTATTGTTTTGTTAATCGAATAAACCCTTCCCAGAGGGGAAAACAAGAAAGATGGATGTAAACAAACTAAGTTTTGTGTTCCACCGACGCTTCTTCCGAAATGAATATTCTGCGTTCAGCAGTATAGGCTAAATATCAAATATTTATATGTTGCATCGCTAATTTAGTAGCTGCAATTGCTGTTTATTTTTGAAAATTTTATTTTTTTTAATTATAATTTTACAGTGCCGAGCATATTCTTGTTATCTATTTACAATTTAAAAACTCCTTGAAAAAGTTTTCTGCACTAATCGGACCCTATTTGCACAAATTCATCACCCAGGTTGAAAGTATATTTTATGTTCACAAATTACGAGTAATTTTTTCAAAATTTTACAAAAACAGGACCTTTTACAAAATGTCTGGACAAACCCCTGATGATTATATTAATACCTTTTAAACCTAATTTTTGTATATAATTGATTACATTAGAATAATAAAATATTTTCATCCAATGTTAAAGTAATAAGATTTTTACAAAAGAAATGTTTTTTTTTATTAGCTTGGGGACTTAACCATTGTTCTTCCTACTAATCAAAATGTGATTTTATAAATTTTTCAGATATTTCTTTTCACATTTTATTTACTTAATAATTGTTACTTTCAGATTCAGCAAGTGAAAGTGAAGAGCATCCTCATTGAATTATCAACTGGTGCTGATTGATATATAGGATAAATATTTTTGTTACGAAACATGAAAATTTGAACTATGTACAGCATAACCGAAAAGTTTCAATTATAGAATACAAAATGCACCTTCTAAAATTGAAACCTTCATAAATGTTGTTTGAACTATATAACATGGACTATTTTTTTACTTTATTTAAGTAAATGTGCTCAGTCCAAAAACAAGTGACTATTGAATATCATTCAATTCTAAGGACATATGTTTATAAAAAAAGATGTTGACTTACTTAATCTGAACAAATATTGCTTTCTTTGATGCCACATGGACTTTTCAACCGCTTTTTTTTTTATATCATTTTAAATTATCTTTGTTGTATGAGCTATTGTTTCAAGAAGGATGTGAAATATATTTATTGATTTTTTTTTCATGTTTATTTATTCACATTTTTTAAAAATGATTTACAGTAAGTAGCGATTACAAATTTTAATGTATGAAAAATAATACTATGTAATTAAAATTTATGTTGTTAATTGTTAATATGTACCTATGAAATTTGCAAGTTTTTGTGAAATTGATCTCCTTGAAAACAAATTTAATATATTTGAAGAAAAAAATACTTTTTTGAAGTAACATAATTCATGTAATTTGTCAATGAAGAAATAGTTAATGCTTAAATCAGTTTTTCACTTGTTGTAAACTTATTGTTGATAGTATCTTTTTACAGAAACTAGTATTATCTTTTTCAAAAACAAATTACTATATAACCCCTTAATGGCCACATTTTTTGCAAGAAACCAGCAATTATTATTTTTTTATTGAAGAAAACATATTTCAAATCTTGGTTTGGTAAAAAAAAAATACAAAAATCAAAATTTTAAGTTTTAATTAAGGCAGTATTTTATTTATGAATTAACAAATGTTATAAATTATAATCCTGTGTAAATGTTAACTATCAATAAAACAATTTCATTTTTAACTTTCATATTGTTATTTTCAATTTATGATTATATCCAGTGTTCAAAATACCTCCAGTGTGCACAGTTTGCCTTGTTTAGAGCATTTGATTTAACTCTTGCAAATTTTAAGGGGTTACAGAAATGTTTAGCATTTTACTATTTGACGTCATCAAGACATATTTAATGTTAAGAAAGCTTATTCTTTAATACAAACTTCAAACATTCGAATTTCATTCCTAATACATAATTTTGTACTTTATTTTACTTGTAACAATAGCTAGATCATTTAATTTATTGTTAAATTAAATTTAAAATCCATGCATTTCAGCAATTATTTTTTATTTGTAATTATTCAATGTGACTTAAGTCATGTTATTGCTCATCCCAGCTCAAGATTGGAAATATATAATTTGGTCTTTAGAATATATATTTTTTAAAATTATTTATCATTTTAATTTTCTTGCGTATTTTAAATTTTTCTGTTATTTTAAACAGATTGATATTGTGTATTTATTTTGTAAATAAGAAATAAAATGTGTTATATTTTTGTAGGTATTTGCAAGTTGTGAAATGTGAATTCTTTCACTAGTCAAGTGAATTTAGATGTTCTCCCTTAATTAACAGTTTTGTTTCTAACTTAACGAATGTTGTTTCAGCAATTGCTAATTTAACAAATGTTAATTATATTTAAAACTTCTTACATACTTTGTGAAAGTAATTCATATTCAATAATTCAGTTTCATTCATTTGTGTATACTGCCAAGATATGGTTGTGTTATCAATGCCATTTTTAAAATAATCATATATGTGTACATGGGAAAGTGTTTTGTTTGGTGTTTCTCTCTTTGTTGCTACTTAATTTTTAGTTTTCTTTGTTCTGCCAAATATATTATTTCTAAGTTAATATAAACTAAATATAATTTAAATTTAAAGATCATTCTTATTGAGTTGCTTTATAAGAGTATATAAAGCATTTCTTAAATGTAGTATCACAATATTTTTATTAATAATGTCTTAACATAAGTTATTTTAATTGCTAGTTTTCAGTATATAAACGAAATATTTTTTTAAAAATTTAAAACTAAATGCACAAATTAATGGTATTTGTTATTTTAAAATATTAATGCAAATATTTTTATACAAGTTGAAAATAATTTTAATTCTGCGTTCTAGAAATTTCTAAATTATTCAGGTTATTCAGAAAAATGAAGCAAACTTAGTATATGGGGTTTAAAAAAGGATATACACACATTACTTGAACTGTATTTTAAAGTATTTACAACTAAAAAGTTATAACAAACAATTTTCTATGTGATTTTAAAAAGACTTTAATCTAAAGGATATTCCAAGCGTTATGTTTTGTAAATAAAACAAGCATTTGATATTTCTACTGTTTTATTTGTATAAAATACACATGTGAGTTTTGAAAGAAATATTTTTCATTTCCTTTTCAGAGGTGTATTTTGTATGATCTACTGTTGTTTTGTTTTTACTGTTTTTTTTATATAAATAAAATCATTTTATGTATTTTAGTTATTTTCTTGCTGCAAATTTTTTGATTATTTTTTTTCTTTTAATGTGTTTATAGTCTTAAATACATATTAAACATTTTTAATGCTGATCAGTAATGAACATTTATTTATTTGTTTACTTTTTAAAAAAAAGTTTTGATGGCTCACTGGTTATAGCACTGAAGTACTATTGTGAAAAACTGAGGTTATTTGGGTTTAAAACAGACAAATAACTTAAATATTTTAAAAATTATTAAATGTTTTTTTAAAAAATTGCTAATTTGGTGACTTTTAGCTATTGAGATAAATATTATCAAAATCACTGCCTTATTCCCATTTTTTTTTCTTTCGAATTTTTATGAGTCCAGATAATTTAGCATTGGAGTAGGTTTTTAAATATTAAAAAATTAGACCTCAAATGCTTTTCATTTTCAGTAAACTGTGGCTTTTCTTAATATTGACGTTTTACTCTTTTCAGAATAAGCATATAAACTGCTGGCTATAGATTGGCTAAACTTGATCTAACCGTCATGAGTCGCAGACTCACAACAGTAATAAAAATAGCATATTATTAAAAAAAAGCACCATTTCATATGACGACGGAGCTTTCGGAGGGCTGTTGCAGGAATGCTTTACTTTTTTTCAGTCTCAAAAACTGCGTAAATCTGTACAGTTAATTGTTTATCAAGTATAGCTCATTCACCAGGAGTTGGCACTTGGCTCTGCCTTCATCATGTGGTATGCGACAATACTATTTCGCTGCTTTTGGGATAAAGTTGTGAGCAATCCTGAACAAGGTTGCTATTTGGCGATCATATGGCAAATATATTTATTTCGCATCTGCATTTGTTTTAAGTATTTCATAAATTTGATGATATTTCGTGCCATTTTTTACGATATTTCTCTCTTTTGAGTGAATAGTTTGTCCTGTTTTAGACATTTTGCTGGGAAAACAGCAGTTCTTAAATTTAAAATATATTTAATTAGCTAGAAAAACGCAAGTTATAATAGCAGGTGATAAAGCGAAATAAGTGACTGAAAAAGAAGTAACTGTTTGTGTTCGGCTCGCATTAAGGGTTGTCTCAATTTCAAGAGCGGAGATGTTTCTCTTCTTACTCCCTCGCTGAAATGAACTCTGCACCCGAGGAGATGGAGTCAAGTGCCAACTCCTGGTGAACGAACTATACAGTTAATTCATTAGTGATATACAAGCAGAGCCAGTCTATCAAAAGTGAAGCTAAGGCAAATTTTTTGTGGGGTCTGCTACATATATACCAACTAAAGGTTTAAAAAAACTTCTAATTTAGAGTTTTATATAGTTTGTAGCAACTTTTTGTTTTGGAATTGTACGTTATAACAAATTTAAATGACTGCAGTTTAATATTCTATTTTTTTCTTTTCTTATATAAATAGATTATTTAACAACAAAATCTATAATAAAAAGAACAGTTATTACGTGTATGTGTCTCTCATTTAGTTGAAGAACTGTTTGTGTTTGAGTCCTGAAATTTAATAAAACGTAGAAAATCCTAATCATTATTTTGTTTTTTTAAAATATATAAATTATTATAATTTTATTTAATGTTAATCGTAACAAAATGAATGAATAATTGAATTTGAAAAATAATTAATTGGATTTAAAATATAATTAACTGTACTTGAAAATATATTTTCGCTTAAGAATATAGTATGAGGGACACAATAAGAAGTAATGAATGAGAATTCATTTTACTTATTAACAATCTATAACAATAACCTTATATAGTATAACAGTTCAAACTGCTAATTTTTTTTACTCGTAAAACATATATACATATTTTTAAAAATTTTGACGTATACTTCGATTTATATATGGCAACATCTGATCATTTTCTCATATTTCTTTTATTATTAAACCATTTTTTTTCTAATTATTAAGTCAAATGAGGGTAATTCCGCATTGTGTGCTGAGCCAAATACAATTGCAAAGTCGCCAAATGGATTTAGTTTTAAACTTACGGATTTTTTTTAAAAAAACATATAGAGTGAGTAGACAGGTTTGCTGGGACCCCAGGCAAATCTCTGTTCACAGGCCTCTAACTCCTTCTATGCAATTCATTTTGAATTATTTTATTATAAAGGAATGAAGGTTATGAAAAATTATGCCCAGGGTGAATTTCCATTAAGTGAGTAAGGCACTGTTTAAAAAAACACATGCATATAAAAGATGAGGAAATAATTCAACAATACTTTTAAGCTTTATAATTCTATGCATGACTCATCCTCCAAACTTTTGGAAATATTTAACACGGATACAGACAAGACAATAACAATTCTAAGCATTGTAAATAAAAGAAATGTGATTAAAAGCGATTTTTAAATGAATTTTTAAAAAAAATAATGAAGTAAATTTTTGTTTTAAAGTTTTAATTTCTGGATTGATCATGGAAATCAGGGTGAATCTTCAGAGTTGAATTTTTCTATCATTAAATAATGAAATTTTATTTCAATCAATTGGTTTCTTAGCAGTGCATTAATTTAAACCGGAAAAGTTCATTCTCTTTTAAACAATATTTTTTTTTAAAAAAACAGAGTTTATGTAAATTCTAGTAAAATTTTAAATAAATTGCTGATAAAAATAGATATTGAAATAACTTCTCAAAACTTCTTCAATTTATTTAAATTTTAAGAAAGACTAACCTAAAGCTACCACAATAGAAAAGAACTCGTACAAAAGATAAAGTGCTCAAGAAATACATATTAATAACCTGAGAGCTTTTGATGAAATATGAGCTAGCTAAGGTTTTAAGAAACTTACCAATTCCTTTTCAACAAGCAAACTTTTTAAAGATCTTAACCAATTTCATCTTTTGATTCGAAAGACAACTTGAAACTGAAAAAGAAAAGAAATTATAACTTCAATGGTAAATAAGTATAATGAATTTTGACTAATATGTAATTTTGTATAATGAATTTGAACACATTATTGCTAAAAAATGTGGATTTTTTTCTTCTTTCCAACACAAACACTAGATTAGCACTTAGTCTTTTTTAAAATCATGTTCAAATGTTATGTGCATTAATAATATGCGCTAAATAAAAATAATTAAATCATACGGAAATCTCCCCTAAATCACAACAATGTGGGAAAAATAATATTAATATTGAAAACCAAATTATAGATAACAAAAATGTATATAGTAGCACAACAATTTGTACTTTAAAAGTTATTTAAATAACCAAAATATTCGATATAAAATATATTAAATTGCTTACATTCCATTAAAAGTAACCAATAGCATAGTGCGACGCAAATAAAGTAACTACCTACCATTAACAAATATATATAATCCAATTGCTATTGAAATACTAAAATGAAAGAGTTTTGGTAGCTGATTAGGAGATAATGTAAACAAAGATTTTAACATCCTTGTCACATTATCCAGTAATTTACTACGTCCCATAATGTTTCTTATTCTAACGAAATATATCAGTGGCTTTGAATTATCAAACAACAAAAACAAAGAATAATAAATTTTTATTTATTTACCTTTTGTGAGAAAGGACAGATTCTTCTCTTTTTAAGTTCGTAAGTAGCGGGCGAATAATAGCGCATGCGCTGAAAGAAAAAAATATTAGGATCATATTTGGGAATGGGAATCCTAGGAGTTTGTGTTCTGACAGCTTTGTGACGTTTGGGAGAATATTAGTAATTGTCCTTGTAATGTTTTTTACTTTTTCTTATAGTTTATCAGAAGTTGCCAAGATTTGGGCGATCATTCTGTAACTGATCACATCTCCCGTGTCTTTATTTATTTACTTTTATTCTCTAAGTGTTTACAAAAAGGGGATGATTAATTAAATATTATACGATTTAAACTTCATTTGTTGGTGAGGTTTGCTTAAATAATCTTATTACGAAAAGTATATCAAGGCCCATTAGCTCAGTTGGTTAGAGCGTCGTGCTAATAACGCGAAGGTCGTGGGTTCGATCCCCCCATGGGCCAGTGATAAACTTTTTCGTTTCCTATTAATTATTAACTATATAAATAATTTATATGCAATTAATATGTCAAATATAAGAAAATTTATCTTTTTGTGTTATTTGGAATTTCCCATCACAGTATTTTATTAATTTTAATTCAATTGCATACCTTATATTGCGAAAAAATGAATGGTATCCAGTTTTCATATTATGCGTAAATAAATATTTAGATTTGCGAGTGTCTAACTTTTCAAAAATAAATTCATGAATGTAATCGAACATTTACAAGGATGGTTATAAAAAAAAAGGCGAAGCTTTTAAATTCACTCACCAGATAGAATTGCTAACTACATAAAATTCATTTACAGAAGTTTAGGAGTTAGAAAATTCCGATTTTAAACATTATAATCTTGCTAAATTTATCATTAAAAAAAAGAAAAGAAAAAAATAATAAATTTTGAAAACATTTTAAAATTATCATAATTCAAAGATTTTTCATTAAATTTAATCAATTAAATAATCAATTTATCAATATTTCCTTTCTCAAATAATTTTTTTATTATTTTGTAAATAAATGAAAGATCATTTTTTTGAAAAAAAAAAGATTGAAAATGTCAGTGAATCTGTCGAATTCAGTTGCAAATTTATTATCTAATATCGCATATAACAGTAAACATCTAGCCACATATAGTATAAAGTATTCTGATATCCATCTAAAATAAAATAGTTAATTAAAAACTATTTATTGCTTTGAATTCAATAAACTTTTGTTTTAGAATTGCAAGTTACCCCATTAGCATTATAAGTCCATCTTAAAGTATGTTTTATGTATCTGAGTGAATACAAGCTAGACTCTTAGTGATCTAATTCCGTTTTATGTTATTAGGTTGATTTTATTTGTTAACTTTTTGGTTATTAATTATCTGAGTGAATTATGGATCTGAGTGAACACAATCAAGTTAATTATCGAACTAAGTAGAATCTTTGTGATCGCAATAATCTTTGACTTAGAGAGAATCTTTATGGTTTGGGCAAGAATCTAAAAATAGTCGCTTTAGTTGCTTCAAATATAAAGAATAGTTGCCAATAAAATAGTTTCTCTTCCATAACATATTTTTACAATATATTTACTGTAATGATATAAAATAATCTAAATAAATGTATTTTTTAGACATTTACACTTTAGAAATTACATACAATAATAAGTTATTTTGAAATAAACGGAAATACTCATAAAAAAACGAGGTTATATAACCTCGTTTTTTTCATATATAATATGATCATCATATATATGATTTAAAAATGTATTATATGATGCTGTGCTACAAATAATAATAAATAAAATGTGCTACATTTTTTTTAAAAATGCACATTAACTCTATACTGGTATTTGACAAATTATATTTAAATTTTCCAATTCAGAAATAATAATTAGATAATGAATTAGAATTTAGAATTCAGCCAAGAATTATGAACAGCACTATTTCCTACCACCAGTTGCTTGAAACCCATGGGTTGAATGAAAAATAGTTGAACTAAATAAAGACTAATGAACATTACAAAACTTCATTTTTAATTTTCTTTCCTGAATATTCATTTTTTGCTCAAGAGTCGCAGGTATTTTTTAGCAGTTAACTATTTGATTTTTTCTTTTTCATTTTCACTTATATCACTTAAACAATTTTTTTTTTTTTTTTTTTTTTCAATTATTTCCAATGAGCTGCACAATTGGTCTTGCCGATGAGCAGACCTAGTGCGTTCTCCAGAGATGGTATCCACTCTTTCAGGACCACCACAGTGGGTGAGATACCGTTGGTCATGTTAATTTGGACGTCTAGTTTCTGCCACACTAGATGACAAAACCGAGACTCTATTTGGATGCTAAAGTGCACTAGGAATTTAATTTTGTCACTTAAACAAAACTTCATTTATATCTGCTATATGCTGCTCGACCAATTCCTTCCTTTTTTCTTTTTAAGATATACATTTTTCATTAGTCTTCAACAGATTCTTTCTTGCCTTTCTTCAAATCAATGAAGTGTTTGGAAACTGTTGTCATGTGAATATTACATGAATTTATACGAATATTACATGAAATTTGAATACTTCACTAAGACCAATTTTTATTATTTGATTTTTAAAAATGCAAAAAATGTGCCTTAGTCACTTTTCTTTCGAACTCTTAGATTATAATAAAATAAGTTTGAGATAAATATTGACTATCGAATTGTGGATGGAAAAGGATAGAAAAATTATGCAATTGAAGACCGTTAGTAAGGAGGAAGCGTAATTAAGAGATATTCAGTGGAAATTATAGTAGTATAAAATTAAATATATCGGAAATGCTGCCTGTGTAATAGCTGACGCGTTTCTTAAATTAAATATGACAGTTGTAACAGTCAATCAAAATTTCGTCAAACTAAAAAAAAGATACTCGATATATTTTACTTCGCATGAATTAAATATTACATGCAAGCAAGCATTAAAATAACCAAGTTTTAGTTACCATTATCACTAAGTACATTAATTATTATAGTCGACGCTCAATATAACGACCCTGGTGGTACAAACGAAAACTGACATTAGAACATGAGGTCTCTATATCATGACTCACACAAAATTAGTTCAAATATTTACTTATATTTAATAGACACTGAGTATATTTTGGCATAAAAATGCTACACTTTAAATACAATCATGAAACTGACTAATACGCATTTTTTTACGACAATAAAGTAAAGTATTATTTAATATTTAGTGTGCAAATATATAAACGGACTAAGCAGAATAACTTTTGATCTAATAATCGGATCTTCACATTCTAGAACTCAATTTTAATGGTTCGAGGAAGTGCTCAAATATGCTGAAAATAATTAATGCAAGATATTTAAAGTTTCGTACAATCAGACACAAAAACGTACTTTCTCTGAATAAGCAAACCTTTTTAATGATAGATTCGGATTTCTGTCGGTCAAAATATAGAGTGCAGTAGCATTCCCCATAGTTCGTTCTAAATATGATCCAAAGTTTGGACCCTTTAGTATCAATTTTACTTTCTGCGTATTTCGCCATATCTCGAGGAACTTTCATGTGGATTCAAAAAAATTTGCACACAATTATAAAATTAGTTTATCCAAAGATAATTCCATGCAAAACATAACCTTTAGGGTACACCTTTTATACATCAAGTTAAATTACGTAATTTTACATAGCGAAATTGGTTGAATCGTTCCTGAGAAATCGAATTTTAAAATGTCGTATTTAATTGAGTCGTAAAATTAGATTTATTATGAAATTATCTGAGTGAATTTATGTGCACTAAGTTCTCCAAATATATATAGAAGAGCAGTTTGTTTAGTAATATATATATATATAAATCAATAAGGTATCGATATTAATAAATATGTTATTAAATCATTATTTTGCGTGTACAGTTTACTTATTTAAAGAATGTTTGATAACGCAAACACTTTTTTTGTCCTTAACCAAATAAAAGTTATCTAAGGTTATCCAAATTGAATCAGATGGTTTACAGGCAGAGATAAGGCTTGTTTTCAATCCAGGCCAGACGTAATATATTTTAATAGTTAAGCTATTTTAAAGATTTACCTTTATGATAAATCTTCTACCTTTATATTTTCAGTACTAAATGAATGAATAATTTCAACTATTATAATATGTAAATGGTTAAAAAATTTTGTCCCCATAACATTGTTCTTTGCATTATTTCAAGTTAAAAAAAATTCATTAAAATTAAATACAATGAAAATAACATTTACTTAAATTCTTTTTACCCCAATAGAAAAAAAAACTCCAAAATCCCAGTTTAGAATAAATCAAAAGTATATTATGGGCATAATTATCCATGAATGGTCAAGATTTTCAACATTATAATTTGAGGAAATTTCATCAAATTTGATTCATAAAATACAAAAATAGTACTGGCATTTTTATATATTTTGAAGAAGGCCCACAAAAGGTAAAAAAATTATCTTTAGCAGGTATAGTTTTTCTTTCTTTTTTCAAGTGGCCAAAAAATAATTTTTGATAATTAAATCACAAACATTAGAATTTTCTTTAATTGGTTTTGAAACTATAATTCACATAATTAGAAACCAAAGAAAAAAATTAAAAATGTAAAAACAGACATTTTTTTAAGTTATAATACATTGTCTATATGAAGAAAAAAAACTGTATTTGGAGAAAAAAATTCTAAATATATTCATTTTTTTCTTCTTTATTTTAAAATGACACCTCCAAAATGTGTGTGAAAAAGAGTAATAAAAACATCTTCTATTTGCTCTCATAACAAATTCCTTTAATTATTGTTAAATTTGATTGAAAATTAGATAAAATTATGAGTATTTGCAAAATTAAACTATATAAAATAAAAACACCTATACATTTGCCTAAAATTTACTAAATTTTATTAGGGCTGCTTTTATCTTTCCTATAAACAAATGAAATGATGTAAGGATAGGGCATTGACTAATTTAAAAGACATTAAATATTGTTTCAAAAAAGTAGAAAAAGAAATGAAAAGAAAATTTAACCAAACGTTTATAGAATTTAAATAAAAGAAACATTTTATTTAGCAATGGATAGATAATGAAGTTGCATATCAATGAGCATGCTCTAAAACAGTTTCTAGGAATTTTTACAAAATGAACACTTGCAAAATTTCTTAGAAGCACAAATCAGTAAATGTTCTTAAAGATATAAAATATTTTACATACACAAATCAATATGGTATTGTGGCAAAAAAAAAACATGTAATCATGAGTACTAAACGAAATTATAAACAATATATACACACTTTGACAGGAGTAGTTATCACAGATAAATATTAAGTAAATAAAAACAGCTCACTGTTAATGTGTGGCTCAAATTTTATAATTAAATTTCCTGTTCAAGACAATTGATACCTTTAAAAGATAAAATTTTACAATATACAAAAATTTTTTCTTCTGTGTTATGAAATGTTAACTTCAACTTGTTAACGTTTTTTTTTTCAACTGCATTAAGATCCAGATTAGATAAAAACATATTTGTTGAAATTCTACCTGAATATTTTGAGTAATTCAAGAAAAGCTATCAAATTCTCAGTGAAATTTTATAACTTTACTTAAATGGTCTCTTTTAGATAGTTATGATTTAGAAAAAAATATCAACTACTTTATTCATATTTTATAAGTTACAGATAATCAAATAAACCAACCAGCAATACACAAACAAAATCATCAGTGGAAAAAAATTGTCTTGAATGAAATTAATGATGTTGAAAAAATAAACAATATATTTATCATGCTTAATTACCTGAAAAGAGTTAATGAAACATTAAGAATATAATATAGTAACATGCTTTTAGTTAATAATATACATTAACACTATGAAAACATTTAAAAATGATGGTAGATAAGAGTTTAGTGAGCAAGTCACCAAATTTTTTTAAAGATAAATCTAATTTTAAATAAATTTTCAAATTAATATAAAATTTAATAAGAAATAAAACAAAAATATGCTAAATAAAATATCTGAAAAATAGTACAACAGCATAACAACTTAGTTATCAAACATTAAAATAATACATACATACTATAAAGATTTACAAAATGTATGAATTTCATTATAAATTCTATGAAATCACCATCAAATGATTGAGTAAAAATACTATTTAATTTAAATATTTGATAAAGGTTTTAAAAAAAATCTAATAATTTAATAAGTAGCTCTTTAACATGATTTCATAAAAAATCTTTTTAGAAAAAATATGAAAAGCACAAACATTTATTACAGTTTTGAGTAATGAAATCTTATAAAATGACATTGTGTAAAAATATATAACACAAAAGTTTTATATTAAAAGTAATATGGTTAAGATTTTATTCATCGTATTGAAAATTACACATTAAACCTTTGGCACTTACAAAAACAGGTATATTTAAGTAGACATTTAAATGAATATAAAAGTGAGGAACACCTAGTGTAGGCAGATAATTGGAACTTCTTATATTTTGAATAAAACAATTAAGTGAAGTTAAATTCACTATCTGATGAACTTTTTCATTAAATTTCAGGAGATTTTATCATAAAATGAAATGTTTTTTGAAACTAAGTATTTATATATGTATGCAAATATATGCAGAGCTCGCGTTTTAGCATTTCGCCACCTCACCAAATGTGATAAAATCGCAAATACAACGAAAATATTGGCCAATGATATTTTCGACGAAAAAGATTTTTTTTTCCCTCTTGATCCTGAAAAAAAACGTTAAAAAGAATTTTTCTGTACAAATCCTGTATTTTTTTTATTAGATTACAGTAATTTCCGCTAGATATGTCACATAACCGATTAGAATTATATTAAGTCCAGATAATGTAAGCATTAAGCAACAAAAGAGATTATGTAAGTATGAGACAAACTACCTTAAAATTAAGATTATATTCGTTGCCATATGACTTTTGATATTTGGCTAATAATCTGAAGTCCTTAGTGCAGGTCCTCTATATGCATAATTGAAATAATTCTTTTTCACTCATTTAAGCAGCCAAAAGCTAGAAAATTTATAATATACTTACCAGAGACTTTTGCATGCTAATATTTGTATATATATTATTATTTTAATTTCTTTTTAAACACTTTTTGACTTAAAAGATATGTCTGTTTGATAAAATAATTGAATTACATGTAAGACTTATTAAAAGGAATTTAAATATAAACAGCTATTTAGGTTTTAAATTACTTTGAACATGTTAACAAGTTTTACTTAGATTTAGCTACTATTATAATGCTAAGAAAGTGGCAGTTTTCAAATGTGTTGTAAAAAAAGCTCTTTTTCTAAAGATCAGATTGCTTGAGATTACACAGGCATAATAGTAGCAGCTTTGTTATATAGTAAATCTAAGATCCAATCAAATCTAAACTCAGCTGAGGTAACTGGAAGGCATTAAAAAAATGTCTAGGCCATTGCTACTTCAAATCTAAAGTTTCTTTTAATAAGGAAAAAACAAGTTTTGGGGTAAAACAATTAGTTTTGTTAAGAAAGCTACAATTAACTAACTTCTCTCACTTTATGTTTTAAAAAGGCCTTTTTTAATCTCTTTTAAACACTTTAACCCAAATCTGCTTTTAGTAGAAAATTGATAACTAACTAATTAAAAAAAATTAGAAAAGAACATGTCTTGGGTTAAAGTATCCACTATTGTTAAGAATGCTACAATTAACCGACTTATCATTCTTCATTTTTTAAAAAAGGTTGCTTAGGTTTTTATGTCTTAAACCTAGAGTTGCCTTTAGTACAAAAAAAAGCATGTCTTAGAATAAAATATTCCGTATCGTTGAAAAAGCTACAATTGACAAACTTCTTCCTTTATATGTTTTAAAAAAAGCTTGTCTAGGCTTTTTATGCCTTAAATATAGGGCTGCCTGTAGTAAGAAAAGAAGTTTGTCTTAGGATAAAATATTCTGCATTTCTAAAAGAGCTTCAAACTGACTACTTGTCCTTCATGTTACAAAAAAAGGTTGTCTAAGCTTTTTTTGTTATTAATCTAGAGCTTCTTTTAATAGAAAAAAAAGCGTGAATGAAATAGTCAGTATTATTTTTAAAAAAAACTAAACTGCAATTAACCAAATCTTTAACTACTTTATGTTTTTAAAAAAAGTGTCTATGCTTTACCTACCTTAAATCTAAAGCTGCTCTCGGTAAGGGCTGCACATAGTGCAGAATTTATTTCAACTGAAATCTTTACAGCAATCCTCAAAATTTAAGATTTTTCGTCCATGTTATAGTAAAAATAAAGTGAGCTCTAAAAACCATAATCCAATAAAATAATGCCTATAGTGCCTCTTTAAGGTCAGCGCCTGCTTACACACCAAGATAAAACGTTTTAAATTATTAGCTTTTGTTAACATGTAATAACATATTTTCACATATAACTTTTAAAAGCAAAAATATTAAAAAACATCTAAATAAAGCAAAGTTTACTTTGAGTTCTAAATAAATAACGTTTTTTAAAAAAGCAAAACACAAATAATGTAACATAATCAGACACATAATCATTTAAGTACTATACAGAAGACCCTTCAGTGTCAAAGCACAAAATGTATTGTACCTGCCGTGTTCACATTTCCATTGAAGAATGTGCTTCATTATAGTACCCAATTGAAAATAAGATTGGATTATTTGTTCGTTTTGCATGTTGTTTTCAAAACTAAGTAGTATATTAAAAACATATTTCTTAAAAAGGACAAAGTCATTAAAATTCATTAATCCTGGATCAAGATTTAAACATGATCATGAATCAATATTTCGTCAAACACTAAAAACATAGACAGGCGAAGCTATTAAAAATATAGAAATACATTGAGTAATAGACAATTGAGACAACATAATAAATAGTGACTCATGACCATAATAGAGAGGTAAAAATTCCATTCAATCACTTAAAAACAAAGCTTGAAAGCATCCACATTCTTTATGCAGGATGTCCAACAAAAGACTGACAGATTTCAAAATTAAAAATCTTAAGAACAAAGGGCGATAGAGGAATAAAACAAACAATGATTATTGTGAAAGCTGTAAAAAGTCATACAGAAATAGAATTTAGTTACAAAAATTGCTGCAGATAGCGCTGCAAGCCATAGTTGATCAGAGGGATCAGTTCTAGCCTCATAATATGCATAAGAGTTGTCATACAGGATCAGGAGGTTTAAATCATGGGTCCTATTAAACAACGTTTGTTTCAGGTATATTACAGTTCTACGGCATTAGTATTGTTTTCAAGAACTAAATAGAGTGCAGTGCACTCTTTTGAAACCAAATTCCAAAATTCCTGAATAAAAGTTTTACAATTTTCCCAATAGATATACCATTTGTTTTATTCCTCTATTGTCCTTTGCTTCCAAGATTTCAAATTTTGAAAATTAGTCCATCCTCCATTCGACGCCTCATAAAATAGATATACAATATTTCACACGTAAGATATTCCTGTATGCATATTTTCAAGAAGTTCATAAAGAAGCCAAAATCTTTTGTGCAAAATATGAATCTGTAATGAAGTGTAGAGGAAAAAAGGTGCAAAAGTCTAGTTTATACTTCCAATTGTTTCCTGAAAATAAATCTGCCAGTTAAGACTCAGCTACAATTTTTCAATACTGTTCCTAGAGCTGTCATAACTTCTATAGATTCCTTTCAAGCTGTTCATATCATCAACACTAACATTTTTCGAAGGCATTATATTAAGATGTTTTGAGTCATTTTTACCATCTTTCATGGAGCCACAGCATGTTTGAGGAGTGCAGTTTGTGGACACTGGGCAGTCAAGAACACAGTTATCTGTTTTACTCTAGTAAAATATAAATAAATAGATAAATGTTCACAAAACTAATATCATAAAATGAAAACTTCATGTTTAAAAATCTACCAAAATCTGACAACTGTTGCGACCAATACAAGAAAATGCAGAAACCGAATTCAGTCTTACAATGAATAGATAATTTTTAATTTCATTTATAGAAAAATAAAAATAATATTTTAAATGTTAAACAATTGAAATATTAAACATTTTTTAATCTTACAAATTTAGAGATATTACATCAATAAAATGTCTAGAATCACTGGTAATTACTAGTATTTTTAGGAATGAGCTTCAAAAGGATAGCTTTTTAAATGTTAACTACAATATATATTATACGATGTATAATATATATTGTATACTACAATATATATTATATGATGTATAATATATATTGTAGTTTACATTACATCTATAACTATGTTCAAATTTAAAGATATGACCAAGAATTCTCCAATAACTGATATCATTTTTAGGGAATCATTTAGTCTGAGAATGACCAGTCAATCATATACATAAACTAAAGCAATGATATTAACCCATGTGGCCATTAAATGTGTCTGAGTAAGATTATATCTGAAAATTGAATAAAATGTAGTATTAAAGATAAATCATTCTCATAATTTAAAATGTTTCAACAATATTTAAAGGTTAAATAATATCAGTTACTTTTTTTTAGCCTCTTGTTTAAGTGCCTGATTTAGAAATCAAGAAGCTCAGGCTGAATGCACAAAACTGTCATGAGCACTATTAATTCTCACTCTGCAGGTAATCTTTATATTTATATCCTGTTTGTGCTCAAAATGCTTTTGAATGCTTAAAAACATAAGGGAGTTATATTTCAAGAAAATGTATGCTTATATTTATTAAAATTTTTTGTTAATTCATAATTCTAGCATACAATTATGAAAAGGAAAAAACTTTTTTGCAAAATTTAAAGGATGTCATCGCGAGCAAAGACATCCATCTTCTGTCTGCCCTTAACCAACTTTTTTTAATGAATTAATTGATTTCCTTTAAACTTTTAGAACTCTAACATACTTGATAATTATATTTCAAATTTTATGGAAATTATACTAAAATGCATCATACAACATAAAATAAAAATGAAGAGGAATTCTAACCTTACTTATAGAGATAAAATTTGGTTCAATTGTAATGAGGTGAATTCCACACAAAGAAAATTGGTAGTAAATAATTTCAACTTATAAAGATTATCTGATTAAAAACATAATTAACAACATAAAATAATAATGAAGGTAAATGTTTACATTACTTATAGATATTCATTTTGGTTAAATCATAGCATAGTGAATTCCTTAACATCAATAAAAATAACTTAGAGAAATCGGAAGAACTAAATTATTTCAAATTTGTAAAGCTTATTAGAGTAAAAATATGACATGCAACTAAAAGTAATAAAGAAGAGAAATGCCTCACTTATAGACAATTTTTGTTACATTGTAGTGGAGTAAATTCTATAAAACTAAATTATTTTAAGTATTATGAAGATTATTTAACTAAAAATATGTAATAAACCAAAAAATAATATCAAAGATAAATACTTACATCACTCATAGATATAAATTCTGGCTGAATTGTAGTGGAGTGAATTCCTTCATTATGAAAAAATTCCTTTACTTTTTCAGCAATCGCCATATAATCCACTAAGTTTCGACAACATATGTGTGCTGAAGCTATTATTCTTTCACCAGCCAATTGCCAAACATGAAATTCATGAACAGCTAAGACACCATCAATCTGGGTGGATAATTGATTAAATTAAAAATAATATATGTTTCGGAGACTGAATTAATTCAACATTAGAAAATAAATCATCACTAAATTCATCATTAATTTATAATTAAACTTATGCTGTACCTCATGAAGCAATTTATTTTGAAGATAATCTACTTGTATATGTGTTGGCACAGTTTGGAGAAGAATCATAGCTGAATCTTTCACTGTTAAAAAAAATAACATTAATAAACAATTTATGAAAAATAAAAGTTACAAACATATGGAAAATAGAGAACTCAAAAGGAAAAAGTCCTTTTTTGACACTGAAGAAGGTTGAAAATAATAGTAATAACAATAAGAAACAATTAAATTATCCTGTTATATAAATATACCTATATTTAATTAATCCTGTTATGTAATAATACCTGTATTTAATTTATAAAATTATACTAAGTTTTACTTTGTATACAATTTCTATTACCGTTGCTTCATGTTTTTCCACTTGCACTTATATTGGTTTTATATGCATAAAAATTTTTTATCTGCTGCTGTACACATGAAGAAAAAAATTCATCCTGAATAACTTTTAATCTGGGCAATTTGGTGAGCAATATGGTGTAAGTATTTAATGGGTACACCATAAATATGCAAACTAATTGTTTAATAGAGAATTCAAATGTGCAGAAAATATAATTCAGACAGTTAATATAGAGTAGCTATCTAAACTTTTGGCACCTTAACATTACTTAAAATACTTTTTGCCATATTTTTGGAAGTCTTTGCAAGAATGAAATTTTTTTGCACAAGATTTTTAAATTCTTTTGGCCAAAAAAAAATTTGATGAGGAAATATTTTTATAACTATTGTCAGAGCTGTTGTAAAGATGGTGTATCTGTCTAGAAATCTAGGAGTTTTTCACCTAATTTAATAAATTAGATGAAAATCTAATGGGATTCTAAGTAATTGGTTTTCCACTTTTTGCCATATTTCTGGAAGTCTTTGCAAGAATGGAAAATTTTTTGCACAACATTTTAAAATTCTTTTGGTCAAAAAATAATTTGACATAGAAATATTTTTATATTCATTGTCAGAGCTGTTGTAAAGATGGTGCATTTGTCTAGAAATCTAGGAGTTTTTTACCTAATTTAATAAATTAGTTGAAAATCTAATGGGATTCTAAGTAATTGGTTTTCCAAGTGGCTGGACGGCAAAATGTTTTGTCAATTGCCTTTTAAAGTCTAGCAACAGATGTTTATTATTTTATTTCTTTAAGATATAAAAAATATCTAACTTTAAGGTACAAAAACTTAATCTCACATTATTTTAAAGGCTAAACTTATCTATTTAATGTAATTTTATTAATATATTAACACAAACTACATTGATAGAAAAGAGAATGCTTTTGAAAAAATTACTAATTAGTTTCACAAATATTTTAAGACTTAAAAATAATGTGAAACTTAGGCTGGACTTAAAACAGTTTAGTTTGGACAAAGGGACAAAAAAGCTTTGATTAATTTTTATCAAGTCTAAATTCTTTTTACAGTAAGGATATTTTCTACTTTCCATTGTATGAATCAGTTTTTTTTGTTCATATACATAAGTAAACTAAATAAGAATTATTGTGAAAGCAAAATTTAAAAACACATTTCAGAAATTTAAATTCTCCTTTTGGATTGAAAAGTTTAAAAAGAACATTTAATTCAAATAAAAAAAACTGTACAGAAATTTATTGGATAATAATATTTGGGCAGAATACTCCAATACTTACACAAAGGCCAAGTTGAGTAAACAATGAGACAAACCATGATTACACTAAAATAAAAATAATTGCATTCAATAATACCAAGTTCATTCAAACTAAGATGCATTCATATCAAATTAGAAATATAATAGGGGTAATTGGGACACAAATTGAAAAATACTGAGTAAATTTTACGAGTAAAAACTAGATATCAATTTACATGCTATACATGATTAATATAATTTTTTGAACTAAGATTTATAATTAAATTACATACTAATGAAGAATATCACACCTTTATAGCAACTAATTTAAGAAAAAACTTAATTCTTAGAAGAATCGCGATATTGGGTTTTAAGTACGGGAAAATACAAATCGCTGTATTGGATTTTTAAATCACATGAATACGAATTGCAATGTGTAACTTTTAAATCAGGTATATATGAAATATGATGTTTGATATTAAAATCGCATCAATATGAGTTGCGATGTTAGCTGATGCCAGCGTACTTTCATATATTAAATATGGCAAAAATCCAACAAGAAAATTAAATTTTATGTAACATGTATGTAAACGTCTTGTTAACGTGATTTAGCGAACGTTTCAAAATTTAAATTTCAGATTCTGGAACTCTTTAATCTAACTTTAACTCTTCACTATTGCTATAAATTTTAGATTGCAATGAAAATTTTGTCAAATTATAAGTTTTAGTTCGCAGAAGTTTGCAAAAATTAATGGTCTTCAGAAACGCGGTATTCACGGACAAATCACATTACCTGCTTTAAGACCTGGAAAATATGAAAAACCCGGAATACAATCACCATGTATCTCTTTAACAAAATACTTTTTTAAAATGATAGTACTCATATTTAATACTTGAAACTGCATATGAATCTCAACAATTTTACTAATCAGCATGGGTCTTCAAGGAAATTAATTAAGACATTTTGAACCTATTGTTAAAGTATATATAAATTGTACTCTATTAACTAACCATTACTGTAGAATTAGGAATTTCTGACCCTCTAACCTAACTTCTGCTTACATAACTTCTAATAAATTCTAATGACTGACTACATAGTTTTGATGCAGATATCCACAGCCGTGGTAGACAGCCAAAGAAATTTTAATGTTAATTTAATGTAAATGAATAAATGAGTTTATAAACCAGTTGACACTGTATTAACAAAATTAGAGAAGTAGAAAAAAGCAAATCAATAGATACCTTAAAGCGGGATCAATATAGTTTATGTACTGCCATTCAGTAAGCCAAACTAACAATGCACTGATAATTACAATCACAGAACCTAATGCATCAGCTAGTATATGGAGAAACACCCCATGCATATTCATCTGACTTGCGGAAGCTATAAGAAAGAAACTAGTTTTACATAGAGCAAAATAAAATAAAAATAAAACAATGGCATTCAGAAATATACACACTTTTCTAAATTAAAACAAATCTTTTGATCCTATAAAAATTACTTAAATAACAATCTTTAAAAGTAATTTAGTATAAAACTTAATTTACATTTGAAATTCTACATTTTGAGATCCTAATAATCATGCAGCCGTTAAGAAAATTTTAAAAAGAAATAGCTATTTGCAGTCTTTAATTTTAACATGAAATTCTCAAAACAATTAAATCGAATTCTCTAAACACTTCACAATTTTCCTTTGCAAAGAAAGCCTAACGCTCTTTGATAGAGTTTATGCCTAAGTTAAAAGAAAATAATATTTACAATAACGCTATTTCTTTTCTTGAAACTAAAAAGAAAGAAGAAGTACAGAATTTTAACAAAACATAAAGGGAGGGGGGTGCATTCGCATTTACCTGCGTAAAATAGTAGGTAGGATAGACCATCCTTCAAGAAATGAAAAAGCCACTATATTACGTTAAAAAAAATGAAAGCACCATAAATCAAAAATGCAATTCTCTATAAAATGCATCACAAAGAATATAAAATCTTTGGAAAAAGTGTTTTCTGAATAAATGCAGCTCCAAAATCTATCTAAATTCAATTGATAATGAAAGACCATAGTCGCAACTGCCAAGACTTTAAATAAATGAGTTCAGCATGAAAACTCCTATGAAGATTAGGCGTACTACCAACACTGTTATAAAATTGAAAATCTATTAAATATTAATCACGAGACAATAAATGGTACTTCATTAAATGGACATTTCATGAAAATAACTGAACTATTTTTCAAATATTGCATATTTCATTCTAAAAGAAGATTTAAAAAAAAAAAAATATTCAATCTATTCAACCTTAATGAAAATATATATTTAAATGCTTCAGAAAAGCACAGTAATTTATATCATGTCAATTTTAGCATAATGATAAAACCTACAACATAATTCATCATACTTATTTTGGCATTAATTAAATTTATTACATTAAAAAACAAAAACTAATTTAAAACCTTTTTTTAATGTTTTAGCCAAATTTAAATTACAAAACCTCAAATCTGTTTCAGTAAAACTTTTGAATTTAATAATATACATAAAGCTTAGGTATTATCTTTAAATCCAGAAACAATTTATTTTTCATTCCTTTTAGTACCACATTTCAATTGACTTTTCACAATCATATAAAAATTCCAGAGTTAACTTTAGAGAGATTTGATCTGCACTACTTAAAATGTTTATAAAATATTCAGCAGATCTTGTAACAAAAAATATAAATAGGAAATGAAGTAAAATTACATTCTTTCTTTGGTTCCTTAACAGCTTTTGCAACAGCCTGCGGAGCACAAGGAACTGGAAGTTGGAAATTTCCTTTATTGTCATTAATATCACCTTCTGATAGAACATCTTCTAACGTTGGTAGTTTTCGTTTGTCATGAACGTGACCCCCATGACTGTGACCATGTCCTAGATAAATAAAAAAGTTAAATTTGCAACAATTATTTCTATTGTATTAAATATTGAACTTGATTGAAATTACTATTAATATGTAATATAGTAATTAGAATAAGTTTCCCAGTTACAGGTGATTTTATTATGTAATAAAAGCTTTAGTACCTCTACTTTCTAGACTATGCAGCTCAGCATAAATCAAAAGAGTAGTTTCAAATTTCGGTTTTACTTATAGAAAACTGAAAAATGAACTTGGAGTACAGAGGGCTTCAAAACTTTTTTTTTTTTTTTTTTTTTTTTTTTTAAATTAAATGCTTTAAGGAAAGGAGGAGTTAAAATGAGGGTAAATGAAAATTGATTTTATATATAAGATGATAAATTGAGTGTTTTTTATGAAGCAAATTGTTTTTGTATTTTTATTTTCAATGATTTAACAAATAAACAGATAGGATAAATTTCAGTTCTACACATTTTTATTTATAATTATTCGATATTTTCTACACCAAAATTTGGGTTTTTGACATTGTCATAATAAAACAAGAGTTTAACATCAAAGTAATTGAATTTTTATGTATATTTTACTTCTTAGGTATAAAATCTAATAATTATCCTTACAGTACATTTTTGAGTTTTTGACTGTTGACAAAAATTATGTCAAAAATAGTTTTTTCACATGACGGATAAAACCGTCAATTGTCAAAAACTTGCCAACCTAGACTAAAGTGAAGTAGCAGACTATTTTATTTTATTTTTTCACTTGGTATGAAGTATTCTTATATAAATTATTTTTTATTTTTCTCATATACATTTTCTAATATGAAATACTGAAGTACTACTTTTTGCAAAATATGTGTAAAATAAGGAACTAATTTGATTAAATGTGTTTTCCAGGTGACAGAAAAAATATATAATCAAATTAGGAAAATTGCATTAGTTACAAGGAGAGAATAAAGTGGTCAAAAATAATTGCACAACAGAGTGAATTACATTTTCTCTTGATATTAAAACATTTTTATACACTTAAAATGCGCTATGCAAAGAAATCAATCTTTTCCTCAGGAATTCAAAAATTTTGTCAACTTAAAAAATAAACTTTCTCAGATTTCTTTCAACTGATTTCCTACATTTATCGTAGGGTTTGACAGATTCCCCAACCTTTCCAAGTTATTAAATTGTTAGATACTCTTTCAAATAATTAAAAAAGAATTTCATTTTTATCAAGCTGTCAGATATTGACTAAATTTCTTACCATGGAACAAAAATAATCCAATAATATTTACAAGCAACCCAATAGTGCCAACATATAGTATCAATACTGGATTGTGAATTTCTTCAGGCTTGTAAAATCTCTTAAGAGCTTCCACAAAGATTGAGAAACAGAGGGCAACAAGAAAAACAGCATTGACTAAGGCACCAAGTACTTCTGCACGAGCCCATCCAAATGTACTTTTTGACCACTTTTTTGGTGACATCTGAAATTAACAATAAGAAATAAAATCACCCAGCTGTTTAATATCTTTGAACCATGCATTAGTAAAAGAGGAAAGATAAAATGCCAAATATATGTATTGTTAGTTTGCAAAATGCCAATCAAGAGATAATTTTCGATTTAGAAATTTTGAAAATACATTTAAAATTGCTAGTATAAAAAAGTTTTAATTATATCATTCAAAACAACATACGTAAAAGTAATAACGTTAAAACTACGTACGTAAAACTAATAACTTTAAAACAACGTACATATAACTAATAACGTACAACTAGCGTAGTTAAAATAACGGGATCGTCAAAATAACGTGGGAAAACGTAGAAATAATAGTAAAGAAAAGATAAAAAATGAAAAAAATACTTAAATTTAAGATGAAATCAGCACGAATAATAATAATAAGTCGATAATGCGCGATTTAAAATCCGCATGTCGTAATAAAAATATCGATTTTTTAACACTATGAGGGAATGCATAGCAATAACTGGAAAAATAACAGTAAACAAAATCTAAAAAAAAAACAAAAAAAAAAAAAAAACACTTAAAATCTCGAAGAAATCGGCCCAAATTAAGTGCGTCAAAAAGTGATTATTTAAACGGACGATTTGAAACTAGAGTGTCTAATAATATCGTAATAAAAATATGGCATTTTCAAAATCACGTTGAAAAGCGGAAAGCTTAAAAAATCATTTAGATTCCCGATAACATCGGCAAAAAATGAGTTTAAAAAGGGCGAGATCCCACTTCGAGATTCATAATATCGTATTAAAATATTAAGATTTTCAAAACTATATAAAAATACGATGTTTTCATAGCCGAAAAATAACTTGGGATGCACGATGAAATTAGCACAAATAAAGTGCGTCAAAAAGTGATTACTTAAATGTGTGATTTGAAACTCAAGTAACGTAATAATATTAATGTAAAAATACAGGATTTCCAAATCACGTAGAAAAGAGTAGAAATAGCTAAAAAAAATCCTTCAGATTTACGATAAAATCAGTACAAAGAAAGCGTAATGAAAAGTGATTATTTAAATGTGTGATTCAATTCACGATTTAATATATTATAGTATTAAAATTTTCAAGATTTTTTAAAACTTGGCGAAAATACGGTGTAATAACTGCGGAATAATAATTGAGAATTTTACGATGAAATCGGCAGCAATAAATCGTGATTAATAGAAAGTGATTAATCAAATAACGCGATTGATAACTCACGAGTCAGAATATCGTATTAAACGTGCCGGGATTTTTAAACCGTATGGCAATAGGTAGTGTAACTGCGAAAGAGCGTTTAAGCTTTTAATTCTTTTCAAAATAGTACACCTACTGAACAGTGATTTTTGTTTTTTGACCCTTTTCTTGAGCAATTTTTTATTAAAAAAAATTTAAAAATATTTGCTGGGAACTTCTAATTATAAATATAAAATAACTTTTTAACTAAATTGCTTTAAAAGTAAACTTTAAACTACTGTAAAATTATGTTAATGATGAATATATTAATTAGTATTGTAATTCATTATAAATTGGCCTTTTTGAAATAATATACCACATTAATAATTGCTTTAATAACGTGTAACTTATGTATGGCTGTATTAGAATATGTACGACATAAAACGAAATTATTAATTTTAAAAGGTGTGCTCGACATAAAAACGAGTTTCTTACGTAAGTTCTCTCACATCCTATCGAACCATTAGTCCCTACACCCCCCTAGTTAATGTCCACTGGGGAGCGATAGCGCCCACTTCAGGAACTTAGGCTATAATGCATTAGACAGCTAGACTGCTGGTTTTGCCTTTTTCTTTGATATTTTTAAAACAAAAAAATTTAAAAATAGATTAAACAAATTTATTCAAGTATTAAAATGCCACTTAATTCTCTCTTTTTTTTTAAGAATATAAAACTGCTAGGTGAGTATATAAATATTAAACTTCTTTTTAAATTCATTTGATCAAGATAATAATAGTTTTGGTGCATTGCATTTAAATTTCTTAGTAAATTACAACTCATCACTAGTAATAAACTGATAGATATGGCACTAACAATCTAATGGCAACTTTTTTAAAATTATAATGAACTTATAGCTATGGATAAAATCAAAAATACTACCAGTCTTTGTACATTTGATGACACAATGAAAAATAATTATTTAGTATTTATTTAAATTAACAAATAAAGAATTAAATTTATTTAAATAAAAACAGAATCACAAAAATAATTTTTTTCTAAAAAATCTTTTTTGGTTTACAAATTACTGAAACATGTTTATAAGATAATAACATAATAGATTTAATATGCAAACAGAAAAAAAAAAAATATCAGGGCTTGAACAGAAATGGTTTAGAGGATTGGAATTCAGATCTTAAAATGTTATTTTAATTATTCAAAAATAAATATCCTTTAAAATTTAATACCTTAAAAAAAATCTTTAAATGTTTCTATTTAAAAAAAAAATAAGACTTTAATATTTAGAATGAAATTTTCATAAAATAAATTTATAAATTTTTAATTTTTCAGGAATATTGAAGCAATATTTTTTAATACATAAAAAAATAAACAATTTCCTAAGATAATTTTTTTTACTTTTTTTCTAAAAGCAATTAGAATAAAATTTTCCTTAAATAAATATGCAAAATAATTTTTTGGAAAAATTTGAAGCAACATTTTTTAAGGAAAGTTCTTTATTTTAATAAATTTATTTAACTTCAAAATAATATTATATTTTACTTTTTTTAACATTAACTAATCATAAAAAAAGAACGATGAACGATTTACTTTTTTTAGAAGATTTAAAATATTATATTTTTTTACTTATTTCAAAGATGAATTAATTTTTTTAATAATTCCTTTCACTTTTTTTAAAAAATTCAGCAGTTTTTTCTTAAATTAAAAATAAGATTGATCTTTAAAAAAAAAAATGCTACTTTAAAGATTTCCAAAAAAATAATTGCTTTAATATTTTCACATAGATGTGTCTAAAACATGACACAGTTGTTCTAGCATAAACTATTGTGATTTGATATATTTGTAGATAGAATAAGAACTTCAAGAAAATTGAAAGATTGAACACTGAATGGAAAGAATGAATATAGAATACTGAATGGATGGAAACATCCATTGAATATTGATTAATAAAATAAAACATTACACTTACCTTAACAGAAATAAAAGCTATAATGAGAGCAATAACATCTGACAGCATATGAAATGAATCAGCCACTAATGCCATAGAATTTGTAACATATCCAACAGATATTTCAACCAAGAAATAGCCACCAGTAAGCACAAACATGCTTAAAAGTCGACATTGTTTTCCAGAATAACGACCCATTTTGAGAGTTTGATTAAAATGTAATTTTTAAAGTATAGAAATAACAACTTTCTTAGTCACAAGCTAAATAGTTCTAATAACTATTAAATGATAACATTATGAATGGCACTTTTCAGAAATAGGGACCTAAAACAAAAAAAGAAGATGTAAGAACCTAAAAAGTAATAAAATGATTTTAAAAAAATTAGAACAGAATATAAATATAAAATAATACAGTAAAAATAAAACTCCACTCATTAAATGCAAATAAAAAAATTATTAACAAGTGAATTAAATCATACACTTTTAAAGAGTAATTCATTCAGTAAATTTAATTTATTCAACAAGGCAAATTATGATTTCTAAAAAAATTTACTATTTAATCAAGTTTATTTGCACTTACTACATCTAGTGTTTTGCAGTCCTAAACAAGGCAATATCTCCACTGCTTTCTCTTAATTGAAGATACTGCCTTCTTGTTTAGATCTGCAGAATAACTAGATGTAGTAGGTTTAAATTAAAGGTAGAACCTCTAATTAGAAGGCAGGGGAGAAACTGCAATATTGGTACAATGTCTTTTATTTCGTGTTAGTAACAAAAAACTATTCATGAAAGTTTATAGTATGCAATTTTATTTTAAAAAAAGAATTAAAAAAAAAACATTATCAATGGAAATATATAATAATAAAATAGAGAAGATAATTTTTATAAGTTTTAGTTATTTTTTCACTACAACTTAATTATTCTGTAGACCTTAAATATCTCGCCAATCAGTAAATAAACTGACTGAGATGAAGTCTTTGTTATTGAAATGAACCACCATACGATTCAAGATCATTCAGATTTAAATCTGAATTTAAAAACACTGAAGAAAAAAAAGAGAGGCTAAAAGTTTTTTCATATTTTTTTCTTTCTATTTATTATATATTCTGTAAACCTTAGATAGTAATAAACTGACTAAATAGTAGTAAATAAACTGACTGAGATGGAAAATGAAGATTTTGTAATTGAAATGATTTGTGATTCAAATTCAAGTAATTCAAATATAAATCTGAATTTAAAAATACTGAATAAAATTGGACAGAACTTCATTTGTACAAATAAAACACAACATATTTAAGCAACCCTATAAGTAAGTAGAATTAGGTAATATTCCTCAACAATCACTCTTATGATAAAAACTTTAAAGGATTATAAAAAATAACATTACAACTTTAAAATATATATTGGCAATAAATATAAATAAAAGTTTCTCTAGATAAGTGACATAAAATGATGGATTACTATTTTTTTAGCAGATTATAAATGTACATTAAGGAGATAAATTAAATTCTCTTTAGTTTAAAATTCAGTCAATTAAAAAAAAAAAGTCAATAAATAAACAATTTTTCTCATACATAAGCTATAAAAAATTGTCAAGATACAGTTATAGTTTTAGAATTTAGAAAAAGTTTAAAATATAAAGCTGGCTTCAATAAGCATACATAAAACTACTTTAATAAATAAAGTAATCATAATAATGTGTGAATACATCAATATATATTGTATATATTTCATTCCTGTTTGCAGCATGACATATTTGAAAATTATAATTTGTATACATAACCAAAATAAAAATATAACTTTGAAAGGGAAGAAAAATATCATAATCAAAAATAAATATTCTATTTTTAATAACAGGTACATAATCTAAAAGAAAAAGTTCAATATCAAATTAATTCAATCTTTCTTTAAAGATATCTAATCTTAATTTTTTTTTTTCAATTTCATTCATAAAAACCTAATATTAAAGTCTTTTAACTTCATTTATAAATTTTTTTGTAAAGTCAACATATAACAAATAAAACAAAATTTTTGTTTAAGTTTACTCTTACCAAAACTACATATAAAAATTTTACCTAATAACTTATTTTAATAACTTGTAAATTTAAGTTAACTGTCATGGCCATAGTTTTTCAAACAAAGATTATAAAAATTTTCATAAGATTAGCAAATTTAAAAATATCCAAGCTTACTTTCTTTTTCACTTGTAATTAAGATTGATGTTTTCCAATTTGTTTATTCAATTTTTGTAAGATCAACTTGAAATAAATAAAAAAGTTAATTCAAATATTACTCCTACCAAAACTCTACAAAACTTATAGCATAAAATCATATTAATAACTATTTTTTTGTTATGAGTTATGTATAGAAAAAATACATAGCTTATAAAATAGTAAATAATTTAAAGTATTATAAAGCAACTAGTCATTAAAGACAACCTTTAAATTCTTAGATCTTGATTTCCAAAAGACTAATTATGTTTTTAAAGATATTTTTTTCAAGAAACTAGAACTCATTTAACTTTTTGTATCATTCATAATTTAGATCAATAGATTACTTTTAAATTTATTAGCAAATATTTTTTAATTTCTTAAAATTTTCTCTTACTAAAATTACACAACTCATTACAATTATTAATAATTTATTTTAGTAGGGTGTAAATTTTAAGACTTTTCTCCAAAAGAAGGCTAATAAATGTTTCTTAAATAATGTAAAATTTAAAAACATTTTAAACAATTTCTTTAAATTTCAGTCCTAAATAATATTGATGCCTTAAATCATTTATATATGTATATATTTTTCTCTTGTACGACCACCAAAGAAAAATTCTTTAAAACTTTAACAAAACATCATAATTCAAATGATCAAAATCATTTATTTCGGCACCTTGTCATTAAAGATAATTTTTAGATTTTAAAAAGAAGATTAATATCAAAATCAACTTCAGAAATGGCAATGCCTTAATAATCAGATTATGATCACTTATTAATTTTAATCGAATTCGTAACATTTAAATTATAAGACAAACAAATTAAAAATGATAAGGAAACAAAACAAAACTAAGTACGAAATTAAATTATATAAAAACCTTATAAATATATTTTCAATATATATAGACATTTTTTACCTAACATTTAATCAACATCAACTTATGCGTAAGGTTAGTGATCATAGAACAAAAAAGATTTAAAAATAGCTCTTAGATGTTTAAGTGATTAGAGGACAGAAATGCGGAATTTATCAGGCGTTTGCATAAAAGATAATTGTTAAATAAAGCCAGATAAAATGAACACAAATCAGTTTTTTAGATAATGGCAATTTAATACGTGTTTTGTGATTTGTTTCATCGACATTAAATTAATAAGTGATTAAAACATTTCAATTAGATATTCTGAAATCCTCTTATGATCACAAAAGATAATCCCTTTTTAAATAATAAGATAAATAACACAAATTAGCTGATTAAATAATAATTAACATACGTACTTTTAACTTGTAATATCGATAACAAATTAATAAGTAATTTAATTGACTTATATAGTCATTTCTTTTAATAAATCCAAATGTGATGACAGACGAACACGTGTTATCTTACACCATTAACAATGTTTACACACATTATAGTTAATGAATTATGAATGTAAATTGTTTCCTTTAAAGAACTGATTTTCATCACTAATTTAATTTCATTCAAACAGCCGTATTTAAATTGTTTTGCACACATCACACTTCATGCCGAAGATGTCATCGAGGCCGTGAATTACACACCACATCCACAGTGAGAGGAAACTAACAGTGAGGAGAAAAAAAGAATTAGATCGAAAACATATCAGACTCTCGATTGCAGCGACACCTGTTTGACAGGAAATGCAGGAATATCTAATCAGTTAGATTGTTTTGTTTCAGAAGAGATTCTGCTGTTGGATTAAAAAGATATTCACATTTTATAATGACGGAAGGAAATTCTTGCATTTTTAGTCCGGGTGTGTTTTAATTATAGCTTTTCAGTTTCTTAAATATTACTTTAATTCTTTTGAAAAAGAATGCTTGAATGTTATATGTAAGATATTTAGAATTTATACGAAATAGTTTACATTGAAAAATATATTTACTATTGAAGAGAATTATTAATTAAAACTTTTGTAAAATATGTTTTTGCAAAATTATTAAAAAGTTTTTTTTTTATAAGTGAATCTTATATCAAGCAATAGTTCTAACTTTTTAATTTTTTAGATATTAATTATTTATAAAGAAACGGATTGCTTGAATTAAAATACATCTATTAAATTAATTAATGTACAATTAATGCCCAAATAGTTTACTGGTAAAAGGAATTTTAACTATTGAGAAGAAAATTATTGATTATGACTCGTCCGGATGTGTTAGTTCTTTTTAATTTCTTAGATATTAACTATTTGTTTAAAAACATAGTGCTTCAATAAATTAAATCTACTGTATTAACAAATTTAGAATTCATGTGGAAATAATTTTCTGGGAAATATGTATTTTTGTTTTGTTGTGTAGAGGGTAGCCGAGGGAATGACTATTTTGTTGTGATAATGTTTTCTTTATTTAGTAAAGCATTAAATTTTATTATAAATTTAAACTAAATGGTAAAAACCCTATTTCAAACTTGTTATAATTTAGAGAATTACAAACCAAATACAGTTTAAAATTAAAATTTCTATAACAGTTATAAAAGTATTTTTCATATAGTTTATTTTTTTCATACAATTCATATTTATAATTTTTTTGTTTGAATAAAATTTAGAAACATTATCAATCTGATCTTTTAAGAAGACTCAACGAAAGCGTCTCATTTTTTTCAATATTATTATTTCTCGCTATTTGCGCAATTCCCCTATTTTTTTTTTTATTATTATTTATGTTTCATAGCAATTCTGGTTTATTTTGGTTTACGTTAGCATCTAGTAATTCGGTATATAACTTGGTATTTGGGTTTAAATACATTGAAAAATTTAAAAATTAACTTTATGAATTTGAATGCGAGATTTATTTTTTTAACTTAAATAAAATTTAGAAGCATTATCAACCTAATCAATTAAGAAGCCTCAAAGAAAATGTCATTCTTTCTTGTTTTTATTATTATTATTTCACTCCATTTGCTCAATTCCTTGCTTCAGTATATTTTTTGATACCAATTCCGGTTACTTTTGATATACATCAGCATCTAGTTATTAGGCATTCAAATAGGTATTTGGGCTTAAATTATAATAAAAAATATAAAAATTAATTAATTTTCGTAGAATTGCTGCTATATTTTAAATTTAAGAAACATTATCAACCTAATTTTTTAAAAAGATTCAACGTTAGGTAGATTTTTTTTTCTTTCCTGTAATTTCAAGCTAGTTGCGCAATTCTTTGCTTCAGTATATTTCTCGATGCTAATTCTTCATAAGTTGGTGCACAGCGCAGAATGACGAGCTAGGAAAACCCACGAAATATTGATTTCTATTTTAAAGAATGTATGTTAAATAAATCAAGGTACAGTTTGTTGTATGTTCGGTTTGGAAATTTTTTTTTGTTCTATTTGAACTAAGAAATAAAACGTTTATCTCACCTAGTTATGTTTTCTAAAAAGAAGAATATTGTCTAGGATCTAATGAAAAATCAATGTCGCGTGTAAAATTAAATAACATACGAAAATCGAAAATATTTTGCAAAAAATTCAACCTATTATGCTCTTTCATTACATTCGATTAATCATTAGCTGTTATTAATAATACCAGTTCAAATTTCGAACAATTTCTTTGTGTGTTCATTTTAGTTTAGAGATGGAGACAAAAAAAAAAAAACTTACGAGAAATTCGACGAGAAAAGTGAGTTTAAAATGTCAACTAAAAACAATACTGGAGAAAAAAATTGATTGCAGATTTGAAATCAGCGATGGAAAAGTAACTAAAAACTGTTTTAAAAAACTCATGCAAAAAAAAAAAAAAAAAATAGCAATAATAATAAATAAATAAATAAATTTCTAAGCGTTATTCGCTAAGATAAGGCATTCTAATTCCACAGAATGGTTATATTAGATTACTCAATATTAAGATTGTCCCTTATGTCGTTTCGTAAAGTAAGTTGAAAAGTTTAATTCATTTGAATTCAATGAAAGGAAATGAGCAAAAAAAACAAGAGGTGACAGGTGACAGTATTTCTCTTTCGAGTACATTCGTGTCGCGTTTTCACCAAAGATTCATCACTCTAAGGTCAAATTAAAAGAGCATTTTTATAAAAATGTCACGGTCACCCTCTGGGAAAGAATGTATCATACAAATTTCACTTTTGAACCTTGTCAAACAAAAACTGTCACTGTTTAATTCTATTCTAGACGCATATATGGGTTACCCATTGCAAACATTCGTTCATTAGAATTAAAACATCTTGATACGAAAATTGAAACGAATGTTTACCAAATTAAAAACCTTAGAATTTTAATTAAAAAAAAGTTATGATATAAATGTTTTAATTTATTTATTATTATTTCTATTTTTTTCTCTCTCCATGAGTAGGCCAACAAACAAAATAAAAATAAAAAAATTGCTGGCCAATATAACCCATTTTGAAATTTTAGAAAGAATCTGCAAAGATTATAACGCGAACATTAATTTGATGAATGAAACTACTGCTGTATTTTTAAATGTTCCCGCTAATCATGTCAAATTACACCGAAGAGCCCTTACATTATGACCACCCTCCATCTATAGCAGTGGGCTCGTCCAGGTCTTTATGGTTTCTCGCCCGGAAACAATGTTTTCTTGGGGCACATTAGGACCAATAATCCTCATAGAACAATCCCCATCGTATGTAAGCTACTTGAACATAGTTGCAGACCAGGTTCACCCATTCATGGTAACATTTTTCCCTGCGGGGGATGGTGTTTACCAACAGGATAATGCACCATGTCATAAGGGTCGAATCGTCATGGATTGGTTCGAGGAGCAATCCAGAGACTTTCAAGTCATGTCTTGGCCCCCAAATTCACCTGACCTTAATCCAACAGAGCATTTGTGGTCCTACTTGGAAAACCAAATTCGTGCTGCCACGCTACCTCCTAGCAATGTGAGGGAATTGCAGGACCAGTTGGTGAGCGCTTGGTACCAGATACCTCAGACTACCTATCAGCACCTTGTGGAATCAATGCCACGGCGGGAACTAGCAGTTTTACGTGGCTAAAGGTGGTTCTACATGTTATTAGCAGAGTTGTCATAATGTAATGGCTCTTCTGTGTCTGTTTTAATGATGAGAATCGATGCTAAATACTCTTCTGCGTACCTATTTCTAATTGAATTCTTCGGAAGATTCATGGAAAAACCGCATTTAATTCAGGGTGTTCTGGAATGACCCACCTTAATATGTATTTTGAGAATTCTTATCAAAGATGACGACTAAAGAGCATACATAATAGAGGTCACATATTAATATTTAACTATGTGCAGTCTCATTTTGTTGGTACTCAATAGGAATTGCGGGCCAAGAGCTGCCGGTAAATTGTTATGTAAGAAGAAACAAAAACTCGATCGAAAGCAAACGAATCACTACAGAGGAAAGTGAGATCAAAAACATCAAAACCTTTTTGATTGAAGATGGAAACACAGAGTTGAAAGGTAATTTTTAAAAATGTCTTCAAATTTCATCAAACAGTCGAACTGATTTTGATATTTTTCAATCCGTTTTCCCCACTTGTGATTTGACAGAATTTTATACCTTTCTAATTTCTTCTTCCTTTAAAAATTAATTGTGAATCCTCTAATGAGTATGTTTACTTCATTTTTGAATAGGATTCTAAAATGTGAACACCACGGAAATGTTTAAGAGGTTTATATTAAGGGTGGTGATTACGGAACACCTTGTAATAGATGAATCAAATATACTCTCTGGAAAGTACGAGATAAGCTTTCAGTGAAGTTGAAAACCTTTTCACTTTGAGATTTAGTGTAACGAATATTAGTCAAAAACAAATACTAAGAGGAAACTTGTTTTTTGTTAATTACAGCAGCCAAAACAAAGTAGTATCTTCCCTACTAATAAATAGACTAGTCCGTAAATCGTGACTGCCGCCAACGCCAGACAGTAGCTCTAATTACTGGATCCTGAGGTTCTAAATTAGAAAAACTAACTTCGATTACGATAAGTAAATTTCTCATTACTTCTTAAAAGCTTAAAACAGTGTATATTTAGGATTAAGGATTATTATTAAACGAGAAAAACAAGTTTAAATAAACACATTAATTTAAATTTATTTTTCTGTGTAGTGACAAAATTGGTCAAAAATCGAAAGAACAACCAATAATGAAGGGCTCGTCGTGTGGCAGAAAATCAACAGCCTTTTTTTTTCTATATAAAATAGTAAATTTAAAAAAAAGTACTATCATGTCCCCCCTCCAATCAATGTAGTTTCTTGTTGAGAAGTTGAGAATATTCTGACTCCACTTTACGCAATAATTATTTGTTGTAAAAACGTGATCATTTTGAAAACAATCTAAACACTGTTCTGGAAGAACGTGATGTTATTTGAATGCTATAGAAACGATGTTATTGTTATCTTAAAACTATTTTTAATCTGTTATCAGCAAAATTTATGTTTCAGATATACCAGCTATATATATATATGTGTTTTTTTTTTTATAATTTCCCCCTCCCCATTTGTTTGTAACTCTCTCTCTCTCTCTCTCTCTCTCTCTCTCTCTCTCTCTCTCTCTCTCTCTCTCTCTCTCTCTCTCTCTCTCTCTCTCTCTCTCTCTCTCTCTCTCTCTCTCTCTCTCTCTCTCTCTCTCTCTCTCTCTCTCTCTCTCTCTCTCTCTCTCTCT